AGTCACTGGAGACTATGTCATCTATTAAATAGTTTGCTCTTCTCCTATTTTATCATATATTAATTTTCTGAAATGTCAGGGTCTGTCTCTGACCCTCTATTTTGTTCCATTGGTCATATTCTTGTGTCATCAACCTACTGTTTGTGTTAGTGTGGCTTCGTAGTTGATCTTAGGATCTGGTAAGGCAAGACTCTCCTCTTTACTGTTATCTTTTAGGGGTGATTTTATTATCCATGGATATTTATTAAGAGGAGGACATTTGGACCCTGCCAGTGTAGTTCAGTGGATTGAGCATCGTCCCATGAACTGAGAAGTCCCGGTTCCATTCCCGGTCAGGGCAAATGTCCCTGTTGCAGACTCAATTCCCAATAGGGGGCGTGCAAGAGGCAGCCGATTCATGTTTCTCACATCGATGTTTCTTTCTTTCTCTCCTTTCCTCTTTCTCTCAAAAAATCAATAAAACATATTTAAAAAAAAAAAAAAAAGAGGAGCCCGGCCGGTGTGTCTCAGTAATTGAGCGTCGACCCATGCACCAAGAGGTCGCTGGTTCGATTCCTGGTCAGGGCACATGCCCAGGTTGTGGGCCCGATCTCCAACGGGGTCATGCAGGAGGTGGCCAATCGATGTTCTCTCTCATTGATGTTTCTATCTCTCTCTTCCTCACCCTTCCTCTTTCTCTAAAAATCAATAAAGAAAAAAAAAATGTTTTTAAAGAGGAGAACATTTGGGATATATTTTGTAGGTGGAACTGTGCTTACAGAATCTCCGGCTTTATTGCAGTTTTATGTTACCGTATATTCAAACCTGGCAATACTTTTCCCTATTGGTTTCTAGGTTCTGTACTTTGTTTAGCAAGAGTCTCCTCATCCCAGTCCTGGCCAGTTTGGCTCAGCGGTTAGAGCGTTGGCCTGCGCTCTGGAGAGACCCGGGTTTGGTTCCCACTAAGGGCACGTACCTCGGTTGCAGTTTGTCCCCGGCCCTGGTTGGTTGTGCGGGTGGCGACCACTCGATGTGTCCCTTTCACGTCGATGTTTCTCTCTCTCTCTCTCCCTCCCTCCCTCCCACTCTATCTGAATAAAATATCGAAAAAAATGTCCTCGGGTGAGGATAAAAAAAGAAAAGAGCCTCCTCATCCCAATATTATCTAAATATCCTCTAATATTTTATTTTAAATCTTCTATAGCATTATTTTAATAGTTGGATATTTAACCTATAGAATTTGTTTTTGTATAGTTATGAAGTTGGGATCTAACTTTATTCCAATAGTAAGCTTGTTTTTCCAATAATAAATAGTCAATTCTTTCCCCCACTGATTTCATATAATTTCTTTATCATAGACTAAAATTTTATATACACAAAGGGCTATTTCTGCACTCTCCTTGGTGTTGGAATCCAGAATGTGTTGGCAGGAGTGGAAAAGCATTAGCCGCCTTTCAGCAGAATGACAGGTTGAAGGGAGTGGTCACAAAGTTAACTGCCAGCCAGGTAGGTGTGTGGGGGATGAATCCGTGCGAGGCAGAGGGTGCTAAGAGAGAGATGATACTGAAAGACAGGGTGGGAATGAAGGGACAGGTACCTGAGGCACATTGATAAAGGAAAGGTAAAGAATTCATCCTTGCTTGGTTACTGGGGCAGAGGTGGAAGGAGGGAGTGATGTCAGCTGACCACTGAGAGGAATGTACTTTTTTATTGTTGTTGTTTTGTTTTGTTAATCCGCACCTGAGGATATTTCCCATTGATTTTTAGATAGAGTGGAAGGAAGGGAGAGAGAGAAACATTGATGTGAGAGAGGCACATCAATTGTTTACCTACTACATGACCCTGGGGCTGGGGATCGAACCTGCAACCCAGATACATGCCCTTGACCGGGAATCTAACCGGAGATCCTCTGGTCTGCAGGCCGACGCTCTGACCACTGAGCCAAACTGGCCAGGGCAGGAATGTACTTTTCAGTGCTGGGTTACCTGAGGCTAAGAGGCTATGAGTGAAAGGCCAGTCCCGGTCACCCCAAACATGGGAGCCAGTGAACAATTTCCCAGACAGCAAGAGGTAGAGGCCTCGGACTCCCTGCTCCTCGGGGGGAGGGGGGGGGTGCTCACGAAAAGGAACTCTCCCACCTTGTGCAGAGGCAGCTGCAGTTTCTCCCACCTTGTGCAGAGGCAGCTGCGGTTTCCACATGAAGGAACTCTGGGGGCAGGGAGAGAGGGGCCTTAATGAGAGCATCAGGTGTGTACCAAGAAGAGGGTTTTTGCTTACATTGTATGTTCATTTGGAGACATGTTGGATTAGAGGAGGGGGTTAGGCACCTCTCACTCTGTGGACAGTGTCTCTGCCTGCCACTCCTGACCTTCCCAGCCCAGTTCCCACTGACCCCACACCAGAGTTCTCTGTCCCCTCCTGTCCCACACTGGAGTCCACACTGGGCAACTTAGCATTTAATTCAGACCCATTTCCGCCTCACTAGATCATAAACTCTCGGTGTTTTCTTCTAAAACCTGCCCTGAGCCTTCAGCACTAGCTGGGCACACAGCAGGCTCCCAGGAGGTGCAGGTAGAATGCCCACTCAGGTGGCTATTGCACCAGCTCCAGCTGGGTCAGAGGCTATGTCGAAGGCACATAACTTCCACCCACCTCCTATTCAGTTTGATTTGATTTCACTACAGTGAGGTTCTGCTCTTGAGGAATTGATGCACAATGACTAAAACAAGGATCAAGGAGTCAGATGGTCCGAGCACTGCCTAGGGTGGATGGCTGTGGCATTTTGTGGCTGGGCTCCTTCAGTAAGAAAAGGATCGAGCCCTGGCCGGTTTGGCTCAGCGGTTAGAGCGTCTGCCTGCGGTCCGGAGAGACCTGGGTTCGGTTCCCGCTAAGGGCACGTACCTTGGTTGCAGTTTGTCCCCAGCCCTGGTTGGGTCGTGTGGGTGGCAACCACTCGATGTGTCGCTTTCACGTTGATGTTTCTCTCTCTCTCTCTCCCTCTCACTCTGTCTGAACAAAATATCAAAAAATGTCCTCTGGTGAGGATAAAAAAAAAACAAAAAAACAAAGAAAAGGATCGAGTTCCAGGCTTTGAAGAATACCCTGGAGTTTGGGGCTTGCACTAGGCCTATTCATGGGTTAAGGGTTGGGGAGTAGAGAGAATGTGGAGATAGGTGGGATCCTCAGGGAGAAGGTCCCCTGGACCTCACCATACCCCTCATCCTGTCACTTTTAGGACACTGCTGTGCTGTGGGTTGGGTTGCCCACCACGTCAATCATCATTGCCTTCTAGAATTTCAACTCTGATCATGTCACTTTCCTGCTCAAAAACCACTGATGGCTTCCCATTGCCTGGAGAATAAGGGTGAATTTAAAGCATGGCCTTTGAGGGTCACAGCTGTTGGGCCCTGAGGTATCTTTCCAGATGTGTTCCCTCACAAAGCCTCCCTTCTCTCTGCCCAGCTTCCGCTGCCCTGTGTCCCCCTCTCTACCCCACACCCTCCCATTTCCCCTCCCATGCAACTCACTACTCTGGCACCAGACCACCTGTACACCTGAGCATACCCTGCTTTCTGACCTCCCTAGTCTTGCTCATGCTGTTCCTTTCTCTTGTCATGCCTTTCCTGCCTCTCCTTAGCTACTGCGATCTTGGTCATCATCCAAGATCCAATTCAGGTGGCACCTCCCCACGAAGCCTTTTCAGACCCCTCTTTCCCTCCCCAGCTGACATTCATTTTTCATCATCTGGGCTCTGTAGTCAGTTATTAGCTCTGTGAGCCACAGATGTACACAGATGTGGAGCGTTTACATTGGTCCTCCCAGGACATCCCTGCTAGCACAGGAGACGCATACCTCTGAGCCTCTGAGGGGTTGGAAGCATGTGGCTCCCCAGATGGACCGTCAACAACTTCAAGCCTGGGTTCTCTCTTACAACGTATGCAGTAGGTACTCACTAAGTGTGTAAACTAAACTGAATTTAGTAGAGTCCACCGAGGGGTGTGAATGCTGAGTGTGTGTCCTTGGCAGGGGGATAGATGTAAGAGGCAGGGAAGAACACGGGCTGCGTGGGGTCCAAGTCACGTCCCCATTTCCCCCCTGGAGGGCCCGGCAGGCCGAGGGGAGCAGGGTGGGGCATCCTCTACCTGGCTTGGGAAGAGACACCACCGACCAGGGTCCATCCCTGTGCTTGGGCCCAGATAGCCCTGCGTTCAGATCTCACCCTCAGTTTCATAAATGCACTTAAATCTGTGGGCCAGAAAAGCCGGTTGTGGGGCCCCAGGCAATAGCCAGGGCAGGAAACTCCCACTATACCCAGCGAGGTAGCCGAGCAGGTGAAGCCACCTCACAGGCCCCCTAGTGAGCCAGCCACCATGCCAGAGATAGGGATCAGGTGGGTGGGGCAGGAGCATCCTCTAAGCTGCCTGAGACTGAGCAGGGCCTGGGCACACCCTCTCTCTATCTGGCCTCCCAGGAGGGAGGGCTGGGGGCACTTGCCCTTAACCAACCCTTTCACCAAGGATTTAGGCAGCTATTTTCTTTCCTTACCCTCTAACTTTCGGAGCCCTGGCCATGGTCCCTGCCTCCCAAGAGGTCGCTGTCCACAACTCTTGTGGTTCTGAGCCTTGGGACTCAGTAGAGTTAAGAAGGCAGGCACCACCCCCTCAGGGGGACATCTCAGAGCCAGGACTTGATTAGCTGAAGAGAGTGGGCTTCTCCTAAACTTGTGGGGGCCAGCAGCCTCTTCGTGCCACCCTCTGTTTCCACAGCTGGTGATTCTGAGCTTCTAGGCGCAGCAGGTGGCTGACCCAACAGCCAGCGCCCCTGCTGTTCCCTGCCCTTCCAGGATCCAAACACCTGAGGGTCTCTTGATACCAGAAGGCCTAGGCCGGGACTCCCTATCTGCTTACCCACCTAATCCCTCCCCGGGAGATCCCAGCCAATGCTCAGAGGCATCCAGAGGGTGGAGTTCTGAGTCAGAGTATAAATTCCCAGTCTCATCACTCAGCTGGAGAGCCGCCGCGATGCTCCAGAAGCAGATGCCTGCCTGGGTCTCCCACTACCTACCAGACCCATGCCAAGCAGAAAGCGCCAGACCTTCGGCCACCTGCGCCTTGGAGGTGAGGAAGCAGAACTGGGTGGGGGGGGCCAGGGGCTGAGGGCAGGAAACAGGCTCAGGGAGACTGGGGGCATTGTGGACTCCAGAGACGGGGGGCTGCCGTGCTACGTGAGTGTGTGGTGTGATGTCTAGTGAGGATCGGTGACCTTGCCAACCCGTCGCCATCGGCCAAGAAGCCACCCATCTGGGTCTCTCCAACTCCTCTCAGCCTGGCAGGAAGACCCCGAGTTCATGGCCAGATTGCCAGGGCTCCAGACCAGCTCTGCCTTGGCGCTCCTATCTTATCTCTCCTAATTGGCTGTAGGCACGCCACGTCAAGGACTGTCAGCACCTCATTTCTCGTTACCTTCCCCCAGCCTCCGCGAACCCCCTGGATGAGATGACTGATGCCCTGAAAGTGTCTTGTCCTTTTGGGGTGGGAGGTGGAGACCCTGCTCAGCCTCCAGGGAGCCCAGGAGGGGGGCTCAGTGCTGTATGGTGCTGGTGCCCCCCTGCCCTGTCCAGAATAGACATGGCCTTCAGGCATGCACCCACATTTCCCCACAGCCCTCGGGGAAACTTTAGTTAGCAGCTCAATACCCCTCACAGGTATCCTAGGAAGACCAATACAAATCCTTCACGTTTGCAAACATCTGTGGGTTTACAGAGCTAATAACTGGCTAGAGAGCACCGAGGAGGAAAAGTAGGTGTTAGCTGGGAAGGGAAGGAATGGATCTGAGGAGGTCTCCTGGAGGAGGTGGTCAACACTTGCTCATCCCTCGCCAGTCTCACTGAGCCCAGGAGCCTGCGCCAGGCTCCGGAGTCCTTCCACCAAAGGAACACAGCTTCTCTCGGAGTGGGGAGGGGGGCCACTGGAGCTGTGCCTGTCCCTCGCGGGTCCTGGAGGCTCCACCGCTCAAAACTGGGACGTTTCCCCTGACCCCTCACCTAGCCTGGGGGGTAAAAAGGAAAACAGCCAGAGTGGCTCCTTGCAGTGGCCCCTAGGTGGAGCTAGCAGGGCAGTGTTTTGGGGTCCCACAAAGTCCCCGCCCCAGTGGTCTTCTTTGAGGAAGGACCTACGCATCTTGGAAGCTATCACCGGGCTGCTCTGATCTGACACAGGTGTTGAAAGGGACTGTGGATCCACCCAGCTCCCGGGAAAGGAGGCGATGGCATCACCAGCTGGGCCTGCCCTGAGAAGCCTTGGGGAGGGGAGTTCCCACAGGCTCCATGGGAGCTGTCCTCCCCTCTTTAGCACCCCAGACTTTGTGGGCTGCTTTGGTTAGGGTATGCCTGACCGGAGGATGGGCATCAGACCCACCACTTCTGAAACAGTTGTCAGACCCTTCTCCCTACTCCCACCCTTACCTAGGAACCTGACCCTGAGTGACCCCACATGACTATCTGTAACTAAATATTTGTCAGACTGATTTGTAGTGGTAGCTAGATTCTTGTGGTATAAGGAGAGTCCCGAATTGTGAGCTGAGATTTTACTCTTGCCTCTACTATGAACTAGTCCAGGGCATGATTTTAGCTGGCTTGGTTCATTCATGGTGAAGGCCAGCATCCCGGTGGCTGGCCAGCATGCTGCCCCGCAGCCAGGGAGCCCTGCATCTGAGTCCTGTCACTTCTGGACTGTGTGACCCTGTGTGAGATGCGTTTTCTCTAAACTCAGCCTTCACTGTGAAGCAGGCATAACAGCACCTTCTTTGGAGCACAGCTGGAGGGCTAGACGAGAACAGATGCAGCACCCAGCGTGGTCAGGACCTGGCACACCCGAGGAGGGTAACGAATTGTGTTCTGTAGCCTCCTCGCCAAAGGTCCATCAATAAAGAGAGGGGGAGGGAAGGAGTAACATTGGATTGCATAATAGGCACTCCTGAGAGTCAAGGGGCTGACCTTTTCCATATGAGCTGACAAATGCCCCCTGTCCGGAGGAGGTCTGAAGGAAAATGAAGTCCTGGCAAGATCAGCCCCAGGGACCAAGGCCGGGGAGGAGGCCAGAGCAATGTGTGTCGGCAGCTTGAGCACTACTGGACCAGAAAACTGCTCCCTCGCTGTGCTCCCCACATGGCAGTTTGTATGTATTAAGTGCACCTCTGCCCTGTCTGCCAGAGTCCCCGCCTGGAGCTCCAGCACCGCGTACTCCCCAGTCCTCACCCCAGGACCCGTCAGCACCCCATGACCACAGGATTCATGCCTGTTCCTGCTCCAGGGCTGCAACCCAGCTGGCCCAGTGCCTGACCATGCCTGTTCTTAGGTATTTCAACTTTCACCCTGATAGCCAGGCAGGGCATCCTGTCCTAGGGATGGGCTTGTCCAAGTCCCTGAAGTTCTTCCCCTTAGCACACCATGAGCCACCCATATATTTGGTTTCTTTTTTCTTTTCTTTTTTTTTTATCCTCATTCAAGGACATTTTTCCATTATTTCTGTTCAGATAGAGTGGGAGGGAGAGAGAGGACGAGAGAGAGAGAGAGAAACATCAACGTGAAAAGGACACACCAAGTGGCTGCCTCCCGCACAACCCAAACCAGGGCCGGGGACAAACTGCAACCGAGGTACGTGCCCTTAGCGGGAACCGAACCCGGGTCTCTCTGGACCATGGGCCGACGCTCTAACCACTGAGCCAAACCGGCCAGGGCTATAATTGGTTTCTTAATCTCACTGATTTCTGGTTCCCATCAGCAAAGTCAGACACTGTGCTTTATTCTTTTGCATTTTTCTACTGTGTATCAATGACCTCTGGGGCCATGAACCTTTGCTTATTTCTAGCACCACTTCAATTGAGCATATTATATGAGGAGGGAAATACTCATCTTAAGCCAAGAAGGCCATTTTTCAGTCCTGGTTCCTAGAGTCCTCTGGGTCCAAGACCTGAGTCCCCGTTCCCTCTGCTTGCCTCCCTCGGCCCTCTGGGTTCTCTCTCAAACCCACCGGACTCTCTCCCTGCTGGGAGATGGAAGAGGACTTTGTAGGGGGCTTTGAAATTGGTTCTGTCCTACAAATGTCTGGGCTAGAAGGTCTGATCTGAGGCTCAAGGTAGCCCACAAAGATTCCTCTGTGATTACTTGAAAATGGAAACTTCTCCAAGAACCCTTCCAGCTCAGATGTTCTCTGGCTGTTTAAAAAGGAGAGAGACCATGGGCTTTGTCTATAGAACACTGCACATGAGGAAATGGCCAGAGTTTGGGGCTCTTTGGGAAATTCAGGGTAAAAAGAAGAATCTGTCAGGAAAATAGATTTTAAGAGCAAAAGACCAAGGAAGAGGAGACGTGGGCAAGCGGCACCTGTCTGCATGTTTGCCGAGGACTGCTTGCAGGCGAGATGGCAGTGTGGTCTTGGTTGTGAACACGGGCTTAAGAATTAGAACTGGATCGAAACATGGGTTCCTCTGATTCTAGCAGGTGCCTGAAGTCAAAGGACTGAGGCTCCGTCGTGAAGTGAGCCTAATAAGAACTGCGTCCGGGGCGTTGTGAGGTCTGAGCAAGACAAATGTAGAGGTTGTGTACACAACACTTAGCAGATGGCAGACACGCAGCAGGTGGTTGCGGATGTGGTTATTGTTGCTGAGTTAGAGTAGAAAGAAATGGTCAACATCACTGGAAGTTGTCAGGGTAGATGACAGCAGAGAGCTTTTCCCGGAAAGCAGGGAGACCTCAAGTGAGGTCCTGTGGGAAACTGCACAGGCTCATTCCTTCTAGAGAAGACATGAGAGAGCCAGGCGGGGCCGAGGGCAGCCCCCCTGGAGACAGGAGAAGGGTGATGATGGCCAAGAGGTCCAGGGCCCTGAGTTCCAAGCTCTTCAACACTGTGGAATGTCTCTGAGGACCGACCCCTGCCTGGCTGAGGCCTTGGGCGGCTCCCCACCTGGGCCCTCTCCTCTGAGAAAGTGGGCCAGTAGGAACAGGCTTTGCCAGAACTGCTCTCCTGAGCGAAAGCTGACTCCTCCTTCCTCACCAGATCAGATGGTGATACCACCCTGCCCAGGCAGGGAGTGGGCCAGACCCACTGTGCCAGAGGGGTCTGGCCAAAGGCCACGGCCACATTTCCAGGACCAGAAGAGAAGTGGTGTGTGTGGCCTTACAAAGCTCAAGCCAGAACCCCACCAGAGCAAGTGATTGACCATGAAGATATTCAGTATTTCAGAGGTAATCTCACAAAGGGAATCCTTAAACTGTATCTGGCTGTCAGATTGGCTTTTATTCTGACTTTGAGGCAGCTGTTGGGGAGAGGAGGAAGAGACCCTAGAACTGACTTACGTATCTATCCCAGGGGTTAGGCACCATTCAACTGTTGTTGGTTAGAATTCAGCCCCAGAAGAGGCTGGAGGGACATATATCAAAATGATACCAGTTTTCATGACAAATGAAAAAAATTGTAACTATGTGCAGTGATGGATGTTAACCTATTGTGGTGATCATACTGTGATATATAGATAGATATCTATATATCAAATCATTATGTTGTACACCTAGTGTTATACGTCAATTATATCTCAATTGTTAAAAAATATATATCAACACCTCTATCACAAAGGTCTTATGAGGATTAGAAACTAAGAAAGTGTCTGACAAATAGTAAATGTTCAATAGAGGCTAGCTATTACAAATACTATTATCTCTGTTAATAGCCAAGGCAGATGAGCTATCTGTGGACAGTCTGAGTTGAAAATAAAAATAATTATAACATTAAAACTATTTTAAATGAGCCCTGGCTGGTTTGGCTCAGCGGTTAGAGCGTCGGCCTGCAGTCCAGAGAGACCCAGGTTCGGTTCCCACTAAGGGCACGTACCTCGGTTACAGTTTGTCCCCAGTGGTTGGGTTGTGCGGGAGGCAGCCACTCGATGTGTCCCTTTCATGTCGATGTTTCTCTCTCTCTCTCTCTCTCTCTTTCTCTCTCTCTCTCCCCCCCTCCCTCCCTCCCACTCTATCTGAACAAAAAAATGAAAAAATGTCCTCAGGTGAGGATAAAAAATAAATTTAAAAAAATTATTTTAAATGATAATAATGATAATTTTTGAGTGGTAAGATTATGAGAACTCTGTTTCTTCATACTTTTGTTTTTTCCAAACCTCAATATTATTTTAAATAGAAAAGAACTGCATCCTCTTAAAAAGGTATAAAGCGATTTTAGCAACAGAGTGGACTATGTGGAGGTTCTAGCTCAGAGGCCTCTGTAAATATAGTCACTTGGTGAGTTGGAGGAGACCAGTGGTGTCTGCGTGGGCACAGGCTGAGAGTGGGAAAAAGGACTCATCTAAGTCTGGGTAAAACTGTCAGGGAAAGGACTTCAAATCCCAAGACTCAAGCAGGAAAGACATGAACACAACAGCCTCGAAGCTATCCCTCTTCCAGGGTGTGCCAGCTCAGAGTGGGGTGAGGAGAAAACCCATCACCTTGGTGCCTGGGGTCCCCTAGAGTCCAGCGAGTCCTTCAGGGCCCAGAAATGTGACTTGACTGCCGGAGGGCATCTGGAGTCCAGGCAGTGGGAGCCTGTGGCCAGCGTGAGCTGCTCTCTCCGTGAAAGCCACCTGCCATTGTCGTCTGAATAGTGAGTCCACTGTCCTCTCGATCCACAGGAGGGGCTATCTCCATGCTACCTGCTTACAGTGAGGGTCATCCGGATGAAAAACGTCCGGCAGGCTGATACGGGTGAGTATCTTCCTCTCACTTCCCTCCTTCTTCTCTGCCTATGGGGCTGGATAGAGACAGGCCCTGGCCGGAGAAATGGTCAGGTGTGTCTGTGCGTGTGCATATGCATGCATGTGCGTGCATGTGTGTGTGCATGTTCTACACTCAGGTTGTATTTCAGACTTTGGGGTTTATGTCCGTTTTAGCCCCTCCCACTAGCTGTAACCTTGCACCACCGTGGTGCCGTGCGTCTGCCTGCATTCAAAGGCACGTTCGCCTCTCTCCTCCCACACTGCCCTCTCCCCAGGATCCATTTCCAGGAGCGCCAGGGTCTCCCACACTGGGCACTCCTGGCTTCTGCACAAATTTAGGTGCTGAAGGGGAAGGAGAGGCCCTTTGGCTCATGGAGCCAGCTGCTGGCCCAGTCCCAGTGCTTCTCAGGACCTGGATCCCACAGTGGGTTCTAGGGTCCATGCCATAAGCCCCTAGCACCAGCTCTGCAGGTCAGCCCCACGACGTGGTGTGACTCACCAGGGCTGTTTAGACGGTGTTTTCTAGCAGCCTAAACTTCATCTTCATCCCAGCCCCTGCAGCATGCCTGGGCCATGGGGCACAGGGAGTCTCTGGTTTCAGGAGGAAATGACAGCATCTGGGTGGGTAGGATGCTCCACCCATACCTGGCTTTGGGGTGGCATTTCGAGAGATCGGGAGAACCAAAAGCCCCTCCCTATGCTTCCCTCATCTTCCCCCACCCGGAGAGAAAGCTTGAACTTTAGTGAGTAGAAAGCTCGGTGTCAAGGTCCCTCCACTGAGGGGGTGTCCCACTCACTGAGAAGGTGACTACACAGGAATGGCCCAATAGCCACAAGGGTTCCCCAAAGCTTCATTATACTCCCACTGCCCTGGGATTCAACTCAGAGGAGCAGAGAATGCACAGAGCCATGGGACTGAGTGTACTTTTTTAAATTTTTATTTATTGACTTGAGAGAAAGAAATTGATTTGTTGTTCCACTTCTTTATGCATTCATTGGTCGATTCTTGTATGTGCTCTGACTGGGGATCGATCCCGTAACTTTGGCATATTGGACAGCCTTTTAACCCACTGAGCTACCTGGCCAGGGACATCTCTGCCCAAAGTGGTAATGGGATCCTCACAGAATGTGGCAGTAATCTTGTCGGTACAGAACTAAGATGTAGAGGACACTGAAAACCGCAAGCAGCTAAGGAAGGCTGCACTGGGGGCCTGGGTCTGAGAGGGGCTGAGTGTGAGCATCCAGGGGTCTGGGGAGCCCAGTCTGGGGAGAGGCTATCCGGAAGGAGAGGAATGTATCTCCGTGCACCTGCCTGGACGTCTGAACACCATCTGATTCTCCCAACAACCTGAGGGTGGTGCTGTGAGGCCCATTTTGCACATACAGGTGAATGAAAGTGTTCGGTCCCAGGTCTGGCGAGCTGGGGAGTCGAGGGGACAAGCCAGAAGGAGGAGGCTGGGGCCAGTGGTGCAGGGTGAGGAAGCAGGCAGAGGAGAGGTCAGGATCTAAGTGGTAGGGCGCCTGAGTTCTTGCGGAAGGGATTGCATGACTTCCCAGGGGCTCCTATGCAGCTTGCTGGAGCACAGGTGGGAGAGGCTGAGACATGTGATGGGAAGCTGTCACTGCGTGCAGGAGTGAGTGTGGAAGGTGCAGGAGGGAGGGTCCTGGAGCCTTAGAGAAAGGATCACGCAGGGCTCAGGCCAAGTCCCCCGGACGGTGAGTGTCCAGAGCCCATTCCAGCAGGAGCAGTTCTAGCCAGCATCCAGCTTGGGCCTAGCTTTGCCCAAAGGGCCAGCAGAGAGCCAGGGATTTCTCCTCCGGCTTTTCAAGGCCTTCCAGCCCGCCAGGGAGTAATCGGAGGAAGTGTCCCACGGGCTTGGGGTCTGGCTGCCTCTTTCACCTTTATTGCACGTCACCCTTCACCCCTTCCCCTCTGGGACAGCTGCACAAACCTACCTCCGCTCCTCTCTAGGTGTGTCTGTCCCAGCCCTGCCTATACCTGTGTGCTCAGACCTTCCCACTGTCCAGGGCCTTTCTGTCTCTCCCTGCCACACCCCTCACCAGAGGTAGGGAGCTGGAGGAACAGCCAGCCAGAGAAACAGGCTGAGGTCTGGATCCACCACCCCTTTTCCCCCTTCCCCACTTGTGCCTGGCTCACAGGCTGCCTTTTTTTTTAATCCTCACCCAAGGGCATTTTTGCATTTATCCTCAGGTAGAGTGGGAGGGAGAGAGGGGGAAGAGAGAAAGAGAAACGTCGATGCGAGAGAGACACATCAAGTGGTTGCTACCCACACAACCCCAACCAGGGCCGGGGACGAACCGAGGTACATGCCCTTAGCAGGAACCCAACCCAGGACTCTCCGGTCCGTGGGCCGATGCTCTAACCACTGAGAATAACTGACCAGGGTCAGGCTGCCTTTTGAAGGTTGTTTATGTTTTCTTCATTTCCCCTGATGAACAGAGTTGGGGACACGCATGGTGTCTGGGGGTGCCAGTCCAGTCACGTTGTGTCTGGTCTCCACAGTTGTCACAGGCCGGGCTTTGCTGCTGCCCTGCCTGGCGAGGTTTGAGACTATCCTGATGCCTTCTCAGTCCTGGGTTACCCTTGCCCCAAACTGTTCCCTTCTGGCTTGGATCAAAAGCATGTTTCTGTCTGGTTCAGCTTCTCATGTGTGTCTAAGTTACCAAGAGTCCGAGGAGCCTGAAAGAGATGAGATTCAGGGAAGAGATTCAGGGATGAACCCCCTCGTCAGTTCAGACCTGGGCCAGAACTAGGAGGGAGTCCACCCCCAGTTGTCAAATGAACCTCCGAGCTGTCAAATGTTTTTATTCCTCTTGGGAAAATAAATTAGAATGCAAACCATCAGCTGTGATGGGATGTGAGGCAGGCATCTGTAGAGGTATTAGGGAGACAGTGTTCTCAGCATCTGTAGAGATCATTGAGTCATTTTTGCCACCCACAGTCCAGGAAAAGATATATGTCATTCAGATGACCAAGCCCTCCATCATTCCACGTGGGTTAGAACCTATCTATTCCTAGGAAATCCCCTGCCTGAAATTCTCAGAATTGGGTCACTGTTGCTTAACCATTATTCATCATTTCAAACACGGCGGTCACTGTCCATGACATCTGCCCCAGATGGCCATCCGGGCCTGACCGGATTTCCTCCATCATCCCTCCCTCCCCAGGATTACCTCTTCTTTGGGCTGCATTCTCCTTCTCCCCAACTTGTGGGGGTCGGGGTGGGAACAGCTATCTGTATAAAGACTGAAAAACAAGTTAACGCTTGAATTATGGGTGTCTGATCAGCCCTGTCTCTTCCTGGCCAAAAATACTGAGATTTTATTTAATAGGTTTAATGGGAGAATTTTAGTCATAGATTAATAATAGGAAAGGGATTTTAGGGGGAAGAGGGCCTTTATAGTATTCATTATATCATGCTAAGCAAATGGGTGTGGAGTTGGGGGTCGCTGCCTGTAGGCTTCTAGTGTATAGGAGGCAGAACAAGAGGAGGGGACAATGTCCAGAAAAAGCCACAGGAGGACTGAGCAGGTCCCTAGGGAGTCTCCCTGTGGGCAGAGGGATCAGGCACGCCAACTTGCTTGCCTGTTCTCGGTGACGCAGCTCAGAATGTCTGCGGCACTCATATAGCACAGTAGCAGGAAGTTGGGCTTTTACACGCATTTACTTGCTCAACAAATGCTAGTAAGTGCTGACACACGGTGTCCCGGGCCTGTCAGGGTGCAGGGCGCAGCGCAGCCAGGGCTCTGCCCGGAGGAGAGCAGAGGGTGTGGCTCAGGGGGCCCATGGCCCAGACCTGGGGACTCAGGGAAGGCTTCCAGAGGAGGCGCCTTCTGAAACCAAAGGGGCTAGCCAGGGCAAGGATGAGATAAAAGAGGAAGAGAAGGCTATTCTAGGCAGAAGAAATGACCAAACAACATGGCACCTTCCGAGACCCACAGTGATTGGGTTTGGCTGGAGTCTCGAGTACACGTGTGAGCACCCGTGTGCACCTGTATGTGTGCATCATATGTGTGTGTGCATGTACATGAGTGTGTGTTTGGGGCAGGGCAGGGGCTGGGTGTAGGGAGGGTGGAAACGTAAGGCTGAGGCTGGGGAAGTTGGCCGGGGCAGCCATGCTGAATGGTTGGCCACCTTCCTAAGGGCGGGTGGGAGCCATTAAAGGATCTTCAACTGGAGAGTGACATGGTCAGATCTAAAAAGATCCCTCTGGTTTCTCTTGAGAGAAAAGATTAGAATAGGGCAAGACAGAAGACAGGGTGCCTGTGGGGAAGAGGCAGCAGAGAGGAAGGTGGCCTGCTCCACGGCGGTGGCGGTGAGCAGGGAGAGGTGGGGGGGCTGGAGAGAACAGAGCAGTTAAACCGACTCAACGCAAGAGTCAAGGACAGTACTTGGCGTCTGGCCTGGACACCTGAGTTGACAATGAGAAGGATGAAGATGCCATTTTTTTAAATTCCATTGGGTTTTTGTCATTCTTTGTGTCTGGATTGAGTGATGATTATGACATGCAGAGGACAGGGTCATCACACCTTCATTTCATGGGAGGAGGGCTGTGAATTCCAATCCTCCGAATGGTAACCACTCAGAGATTAACCAGACATTGGGGGGGAAATCGGAAGCTAGGGATGCTTGTGATGCAGCCCACGGTTATGAACCCTGAGGAAGTTCTCCATGTAGTGGCGTGTAGGAATAAGTCGGTCTGGGGGTACGCCTCCGGTTCCATTCTCACAGAACATTATTAATAACAGTCATGAACTCGTTTGTATCAGTCCTACCAGTACAGAACTCCCATGCCCACACCAGCTTTACCGTCTAGAGGACTCTCTGACATCGGAAACTATTACCTTTTCTCATTTTCGGTGTATGTGGTGTGAACCCTGGGCATCAGCCCAGCAGGTTGCCAGGGGGGTGACAAGGGCAGTCATGGCACCTTTTGCTCCCTCCTCCCAGGTAGAATGGAAGGAGGGAGCCGGGCTGGGTTGCTGTTTTTCACCCTATGCCATCTGGTGCTCCAACCGAAAGACCTGGAAGGCCTTCTTCCACTGTGGGAGGGCCTGTTGGGATCACAGCCCTTGAAATAAACACTTGGATTGTTTATTTCAGAAGAAAAAAAAGTATGTGGCTTTAGATGTGAGGATTTCTTGGGAAGACCAGTGCAGGTGTGCCGAGCCCAAAAAGTGCAGTTGAGACATTTAGTCACTTGCAGTCGATGGTGATTCCTGCTCCTAGATCCTGCTGACTGTCTTGTTCCTCCCAAGCCCTTTACCACTGGCACCCTCTGGCCTGACTCACAACAGACAGCGCCCCTTCTAATCCCTGCTTCTCCTCAGCCTAGAGGAAGAGCTGAGCCCTACTTTGGTTTCCCTGGTGCCTTGGGTTAATGCAAGAGGTAAACTGGGCCCTTTGGGGCTGGTCCTCTAGATCTTTCCTTGGCAGAGGGAAAACTGTGCAGCCTTCACCTCACCCCAAACAGAGAGCTTCTGACAAGAGCCAGAGGCCACCTGAGTCCATGAGAGCAGTCAGTGAGACCTGGGTCCCCATGTGAAACCTCTAGCCTGTAGTCTGTGACCTTCTTGGGGTTCTAGGACAGACATCTCCGGAGAGGCTGACTCACGAGTCAGGAGAGGACCTGAGGCTGAGGCAAGGCCTTCTTGCTCTCGGAGTGACTTGCCTGAAGTTCCCTTCTGGCTCCGCACTCTCTCCTCTCTGGACCTGGAGTGGTACCTCACCCTTCCCTCCCACCCTTGTCTTCACTGGACAGTGAGCCAGACAGACTGCTATGTGAGCCTCTGGCTGCCCACCGCCTCTCACGAGAGGCTGAGGACTAGGACCATCTCCAACTGCCCAAACCCAGAGTGGAACGAAAGCTTCACCTTCCTGATCCAGAGCCAAGTGAAGGTGAGCCGTGGAGGCCCGGACTGCCTGCCCTGCCTGCACTTCCGTCCCCTCCCTGCCTGCCTGGCCTTCTCTTTGCTCATGTGTCCTTCTTAGGCCCTTTGTCGTTCTTTCTAGCAACTTCTTGTCCTCCTGTTGGCCTGTCTTCCCACTCACCCCGTCCTTCCATCCCGTCTCATATCTGTCCCTCTCCGAGTCTCTTATCCTTCCACCTTCTTCCCTCTCTCTCCTGTTCTCCTACCTAATTGTCTCTGGAATTGTGTGTCTCCTGCCCCCAAATGGAGTGGGTTTCCAGTGCTTTCCAGAACATACTCCAAGCAGAATAATACACAGAAGGGAAGAACCATTGTATTCACTTGGTCCAGAGCCAGTCTAATTTAATCCAGAGGGCCTTCTCTACTTAAAATTCTTTTTAGATTGCTTTATTATTTCTAATTCCTTGGGTGTGCGTTCTTGCATTTGTTGATTTATTTCATGGTGTTGGTCTTATTCAGATATATGGCGACCCTAAGGCAAGTTCACATCTCCTTGCGGGAGAGTCCCCCTGAGCATCCTGAGTTGTGACGGTCCCAGCAGAGTGCTCCTATGAGAACCTTGGCCTCGTCATGGAGGCACCAACCAGTCTTGGGACAACTGAGACCCAAGAGCTCTGTCCAGATTACTGCTTTCCTATTTTAGGCATGCCTCTCCATTTTTGGTTCATGACAAGTACTTTTTATATTTATTTTATTTTATTTTTTTATCCTCACCCGAGGACATTTTTCCATTTTTTTTGTTGTTGTTGTTCAGATAGAGTGGGAAGGAGAGAGAGGAAGAGAGAGAGAGAGAGAGAGAGAGAAACATCGATGTGAAAGGGACACATCGAGTGGCTGCCACCGCACGACCAACCAGGGCCGGGGACAAACCGCAACCGAGGTACATGCCCCCTAGCGGGAATCGAACCTGGGTCTCTCTGGACCGCAGGCCGACGCTCTAACCTCTGAGCCAAACCGTCCAGAGCTATATTTATTATTTTAAAAACATTTATCATATACTACATGGTTTTGGCGAAAGAAGGAGATTTCCACGTGGGCTCAATTGGCCATCTTGAAATCAGAATTTGAGCTGCCTTTGTCTAAAGATCTAGGGGGCTTCTTAGCTGGTTCCGGGCCATACCTGGATTTCTATAATCACAAGGTCAACAGATCTCATTCAGTTGCAAACCCCCAGAATCATCTCATGTCCACCAAACAGGGACCGAAGAGGCAAACCCAGTTCCTACCCACATCTCCCAGGATCCTTAGAACAAGAAGCCTCAGAGGTTAATCCATGTCACCCGAAATCACTGACCTCAGAGTTCAGTTAGATGACAGGGTAGGTGCTCAACTCTTGACATTCTGCCTTGGGACCCTCCATAAGATCTCATTAGGAGCTGATGGGCCAGAGAATGGAGTTCCAACACCTCGCCCCAACCCCGCCAAGTATCCGAATGCCTATACTCTTTGGCACATCACCCCCGGAGTGTTAAGATGTGAACACTGACCTAGGTTTTCTAGCACCACAGGGGCTGTCTGCAGCTCCCGAGGCCCCAGTGCTGAACACGCTCCCTACCCTGGCAGGAGTCTTGCTTGCTCTGCCCTTCTGTCCTTCCTCTAGGTAAAATGAACCCCTCACACTTTACAGGCCCCCGCCGAGCTTGCAAAATTCCCCAACAGGGAAGTCAGAGCAGAGAGGCAGGAAGCTTCAGGAAGTTTGAAAGCATGGAGGAGACACTTTCCTTTCTAAAATTATTTCCCTGCAAATGTCTCTCACACTTGGGCAGGGGCCTTTGTGCCGGTCCCTGTCCTCAGACCCACCTCCTTGCTAGGACGGAGGTCAGCCCCTTGTCCTGGGAATGGGTGAGTGGGTGAGTACAACCATTTAACCAGACTTGTGCCCTGCCTTCTCCCCTAGAACGTGCTAGAGCTGAGTGTCTGCGATGAAGACACAGTGACCCCCGATGACCATCTCTTGACGGTTCTCTATGACCTCACCAAGCTCTGCTTCAGGAAGAAAACCCACGTAAAGTTTCCACTCAACCCAGAGGTGGGTACAGCTGCCGAGCCCACCGCCTCCTGCCTCAAGAGGAGAGCTGGTCATTCCCACGATGCAGCTCCACGGGCTCCTCTCTGCGTAACAGCCGAGCCAGGGAAAGAGCCGCTGATCCAAATGCCAGCACAATTGCTTACTAGCTTTGTGACCTTGTGGAAGCTATTTAATTCCTCTGAGTTCTTTTTCCTTGTCTCACAATGATGATATTGGTACCTACGGCACAGGGTCATTGTGAGACATAAATGGGAAAACGTGACTAAGGCACCTAGCACTGGTCACAGCACAAAATGGAGAAGCAGTAAGTGTCGATCCCCTCTCCTCCTTCCCTTCCTTTGGTGGCCTGTGCTGGGATAGCCCCAGAGGGCGGAGGACAGAGGAGAGTAAAGGAGGCCAAATATGCAAATCAGAGAAAGTCAGAGCTGGAAAGGACCCGGATGTTATAGATTCAACCATTCAACAAATACTTGAATGCCCACTATGGACCAGGCACTGTGCGAGGCATTGGGCACGTGCCAGGGCACGAGCATCCCTAGCTTACATTTCAGTGGGGAAATTAAGGCCCAGGGAGTCATGACTTGCCTGAAGTTACACAGTAAGAGGTATAAAGGGATAGGCAAGGAAGGGGCTCCTGCCCTTCAGAATTGAACTTTCTGGGAGTATGGTTGCAGCTCTCCTTGCCCCACGCACAGCCCTGTGGGAAGGCAGTGGAGTAATGCAGGTAGAAGATGAAGGAAAATATTCTGAGGCGGAAGAGTTTGCGTGCTGAGACTTGGGGTAATCTCCTTACGTGGACTCTCCCCTGGGTGGTCAGGGATGTGTTGTTGTCAAAGGCTTGGAGACAGCAGGAGGCAGAGGGACAATAAGAGCCAGGAGCAGCTGCCCCCACTCCCTGTTAGCAGGACAGCTTTGTGGGAAGGATGGGACAGGTTCACAGAGCTCCTGGGGCAGCTCCCAGCTCACAGCTGCCTCCTTTCCTCCCCCTGCAGGGCATGGAGGAGCTGGAGGTGGAGTTTCTGCTGGAGGAGAGGTGAGTAGGCCCCAGCCCCTGAGGGCTCCCCCAAGGTCCTGACCCCTAAGTTGCATTTCAGAGCCTGGTGTGCTTTTTGCTGTCTCCCCTCTTCCACTCTCTCACCTGGCACTCACCTCAGACTCCTCACTGTGTATTAGAATCACTGGGAGCCTTAAATACTGTTGGTGCCTGGGCCCCATTCCTACTCATCCTGTTCTACTGACATCAGTATTGCTTTATGGATCCAATGCTCTGGCCAGCCCTGCCTTAGGCCCCTGCACTCCCGAGAGCAGTCTCTGGGAAGAATCCTGCCACCGTAGTGATCGGGCTTACTGAGGCCAGGCTACGAAAGAGGTCAGAGCCAAGGGGTCTCCTCCTTGACCCCGAACTGTTAGAACAAACTCCTCCAGACCTTGGCCTAGCGAGGAGGCTGCCCCTGCCCACCTCTGCAGCCAACTCTGGAACCAAGTCAGGGGGAGGCTCCAACCCAACATGTGCGGTTACTTCTCACGTTCAGTTGGAAGAATGAGCAGGGCCCTGGAGGTCTGACTGTGCTGGGGACTCCAGTGGAATTGGGTCACGGAGCTGGAGGATGGGAAGGACAAGAGCACAAAGAGAGAAGGAAGAGAAGCGGTGGTGGGGGAGGGCAGAAGGGCCCCTGCCCAGGGGGACAAGCCTGCCCCGGGACGGCAGTGTGCCTGGTGATGGGGCGGCGGGCTGCTCCCTTGTTCGTAGCCCCGGCAGAGCTGAGCCCCTGGATGTATGATCAGCCAGGGCCAGGGAGGACAAGGGGAATGGGCGGGAACAAGAGGATTTGTCACATTCCACTCACACAGTCCTCTGCCTAGGGGCCCTTGGAACTACAGCAAGTCCTCAGGTAATGTCTCAACATCATTCGTCATTTCACGATAATGACGAGATGATACAGAAACTTAACTCTTGTTTATTCCAATTGGCCTATGTTAAAATTGGTTTTGTTACACATCATTTCACTGCAGTGCTAAGAACCTATCGAGGACATTACGTGAGGAATTACTGTATTTGAGGTTCCTCATGTCCCATCAACAGCTGATTGACAACACAAAATCAACTTTGTTTCACATTAAATAAAGCATGGCTCTCTTCTCTAGGTCTTGATTTGACAGGGATGGGGGGGGGGGGTCCTTGGCTGAATTAGAAACTGTCTTGCAAAATGAAATATGTCAAAATTGCTACTGAGAGTTGTTCTGGAGACAGTTATCTTGGGCTTTAGTGGACTTAACTGTGGAGACTTATATTGTAGACTTTATAACACAAGGACATTTCTCGTTCACCAGGGCACTTTCTGTTTGGGTCGGAACTGTTTGCTAAACACATAAATAAAGCACAGAATGGAGAATGGGTCAGTTTCTCTACCAGAACTATTTACATCTGTTCTAGGTGGTGGTCTGGCCTTTTCTTGCAGCCTGTTTATCCTCTGAGTCTGCGTTTCATCTGGTCAGACATAAAGAACAGTTACCCCTTAAGAGAAAAAAAGGAAACTGTTCTTCTACTCCCGCTAACCTACAAACCTATTATTTCTGGACATTCTATTTAAAATGTATGCCTGTTGGCCTGACTGGTGTGGCTCACTGGTTGAGCATGGACCCACACCAAGAGGTCGCCCGTTCAATTCCCGGTCAGGACACATGCCCAGGTTGTGGGGCAAATCTCCAGTGGGGGCATGCAGGAGGCGGCCAGTCAATGTTCTCTCTCATCGATGTTTCTATTTCTGCCTTCCTCTCCCTTCCTCTCTCTCTAAAATCAATAACGAAAAAAATATTTTAAAAAAAGAATAATATTTAAAATAAAAATAAAATAAAATGTATGCCTGTTTACTCCTTGACAATCTACAAACCTAAGGTTTCTTGACCCAATATTTTTCATGAGGACCAGGAAGGCTCTGCTATCTCATTGTTGGCACTATTTGGGCTTTTTGTCACCTTTGTGATGTAACTGACCAGGAGTTCTCATTTTGTTTTCCAGTGCCTCTCCGCCTGAGACCCTCATCACCAATGGCGTGCTGGTGGTAATTGTCCTTCCAGGGCCCTGTCCCAGAGCCCATTAGGAGTCAAACTAACTGAAGCCAGCCAAAGGGGGGGGGAATGGGGGGGCAGCAGCTGGGCTCCTGCCCCTGGGGAGGAGGTGGCTGGGACATCACTCACCCTGGCCCAGCATCCCACACCCCACAGAATGATGGCTCCTTCCTAAAAACCTTCCCAACAAAAGCACCCACTAGGAGGTAGCCTTCTCCCAGAATCAATCTCAGTCCCATTTCCCCCAAGCCCAACCTCTCTACAAGCAAAGGACAAGAGGATTAAAAGGATTGTCATAATTCAGCTGTTGACCCAACTATTTTAATTAGTTGCATCTAAAACCCCAGATTCAAAATCTCTCCCCTAAAAATCAGTCTTTGGGAGTTTGTGGTGAAGGGTTTGACCCGCCTCTCTGATCCTTGAGAAGGCTGTTTCATTGGAAGTCACTCACTTTCAAAGCCCAAAGAGGAAGGTTCCCTCAGGTTCCACTCCCGATCTGCAGCTGAGAATGTGACCCCTGCAGAGCTGAGCCCCAGGTTTTTCAGAAGAGCTTCAATTTCCAATAGTCAATCTCTGAACAAGGTGATAGGATTTGATTGGGTTCAAAACATGTGATCGGCCCCCCGGCTTCCTGGGTCAGGTCACTCAATGTGGGGCATGACTTGTGCTTGGAATGGCTCTTGGCTTCCTTGTTGCAGGCTCGACAAGTCTCCCGCCTGGAGGTTCAGGCAGAATCCAGAAGGCAGAGGAAGAACGGGAAAAGTAGGTCCTTTGCCAGCCTCTGCCTGCGGGGACAGGCTGCTTCCCAGCCCATCAGTTCACCAGAACTGGCTGCTCAGGGCTGCCCTGGGCTCCGCTGGGGAACCAAGAGCTTGGCAGGAGATGCCTCAGGATCACCTCGCCCTCAGGGGCCGTGAACTCCTGTCTCTCCATCCCCCTCTCCTCTATAAGGGACATGCGCTTTCAGTCGCCTGCATAACCCTCGGAGCTTCCCAGGTCTGACGAGCCACCTGGGTCAGGGGTCCGTGGCACAGCGCTGCCCACACTGGCCTGCACTGTACCCCTGCCACACCAGGTGTTCACTGGATCTGGTGCAGTGGTCAGCACCAGGGTGGACGGGCACTAACAACACCCAGGGCCCCTCTAGGTGTGCCCCTTCCTCTGGCTAGCTGACAAGTCATAGAGAGTCCTAGCATTTGGTGGTTGGCGGGGACCTAAGTGATCCACAAACATGAGACTCCCCTGTTCACCGCTCCATCCCATTCCACCATGCAGGGACTTCCAGCCCTGTCCCAAGCGAGGGGAGCAGCATGGCCCCACAGACATGGGGCGAAGGGAGGAAAGGCCACTGCCCCAAACTGACCTTGAGGCACCTCCTGGAGAAGCAGAACCTAGGAGGACTAGTGTAGAGGACTCAGAATCTCAGAGGGCCTCCTGGGGGCCTCATTCGTCAGCACCATGAGCACTATTAAAATGCAGATTCCTGGGCTGGTCCTGTCCTATAGAATGAGACTGTCTGGAGCATTTTAACCAGTGTCCCTGGTGATTCTAAACCCTGTCCTAGGCACCTCCAGCTATGCTTTGTACTGTTGTTGGGATGGGGGAGTGAGAGGCTTTTAGGGGGTCTCAGCCGTCTTGCCCCTCTTCCAGGGAAGGACCTCCTGGTAACAGTGACGGAGTCCTTCGAGCACACCCAGCGCATCTCGGAGTGCCTGGAGCCCTGCTGTCCAAACCCCGCCAGCTTCCACTACCCCAAGTACTTCCAGTCCCAGATGCACGCGGATGTGCCCAAGAGCCAATGGAGCTGTGGGGTACAAGGCGGCGCCAGGGGGTGGTACGGGGGACTGGGGCAGATGGGCTGCCAGAGGAGCCCCTCACCCCGACTCACAGAACCACCCCTCCTCCCAGCTTTGCTGCTGTGGTGGGCGCAAGAAGAACGGCCCTGTGAGCCAGCCCCTGGAGTACCTCACCGATGGCCAGGCCGTGACCCTGCCTGTGGTGAGGGCTTGGTCTGGGATGGGGCCCCTGAACAGCTTTGCCTGGAACTCCTGTGGCAGGGAGATGGGAAGAGCCTGGGGGGCCTGTGGGGGAAGGTGACTCGTGGGGTCTCGGGCAGGATAGAGGAGTCTGGTGGGGTAGGAGAGGCTGAGCTGCAGTGTGGAGCCAAGAGAGTGTGTGGAGGCCAAGTTAAGGATGACGGGGAGGGTCATGCAGAAGAGGGTGTGCAGCGAAGCATGTGTGTGTGCGTGTGTGTGTGCATGTGTGTACACGTGTGTGTTGAGTCAAGTCAGAGAGCGGACAGTGTGGTGAGTCTGCACTTCTTTGGTTGGGATCACTTGGCTCTGAATTGTCATCCCTGACAAGTTTTTCATCTTTTGTGTCCCAGGGAGAAAACTGTGAATTACACATGAAGTCTACACCCTGGTAAAGTACCCTTTTGCCATCTGTCCCTCTGGTTTGTTCATCCTAGAGGGTGTGAAGTGGTATCTGGGTATGGTTTTGATTTGCTTTTCCCTGATGGCTGATGATGTTGAGCCTCTTTTCATGGGCTCATTGACCATTTGGGTATGTTCTTTAGAGAAATGTCTTCCCAAATACTTTTCCCATTTTTTTTTATCCTCACCCAAGGACATTTTTCCATTTTTTTTGTTCAGATAGAGTGGAAGGGAGAGAGAGAGAGAGAGAGAGAGAGAGAGAGAGAGAGAGAGAGACATATCGATGTGAAAGGAACACATCGAGTGGCTGCCTCCTGCATGACCCAACCAGGGCAGGGACAAACTGCAACCGAGGTACGTGCCCTTAGCGGGAACCGAACCCGGTCTCTCTGGATTGCAGGCTGATGCTCTAACTGCTGAGCCAAACTGGCCAGGGCCCTTTGCCCATTTTTAAAGTGGTTATTTGCATTCTATTTTAAGTTGTAAGGGTTCTTTGTATATTCTGAATCCAAGTCCCTTGCCAGATGTATGATTTGCAAATATTTTCTTTTATTCTGGTGGTTATCTTTTTACATTCCTGATGATGTCTTTTGAAGCACATTTTACATTTTGGTACATTCCAATTTATCTATATTTTTTTAAAAAATTGAATTTAGAGAGAGAGGAAGGGAGAGGGAGACAGAGATAGAAACATTGATGAGAGAGAACATCAATTGGCCGCCTCCTGCATGCCCCCACTGGGGATCAGGCCCACAACCTGGGCATGTGTCCTAACCGGGGATGGAACCAGCGACCTCTTGGTACATGGGTCAACGCTCAACCACTGAGCCACACCGGCTGGGCTATGTTTTTTCTTCATTGCTTGTTCTTTTGGTATCATATTTAAAAAAACATTGCCTAATCCAAGTTCATGAAAATGTATTCTCATGTTTTCTTCCAAACATTTTATGGCCTCTCTTATCTCAGGTCTAGGACTGATTTTGAGTTTATTTTTATATTCAGTGTGACACAGCGACTCAACTTCATCCTTCTGCGTGTGGATATCCAGTTGTCTCCGCAGTATCTGTTAAACATTGTTCTGTTAAACATTGAATTGTCTTGGCATCCTTGTCAAAAATCAAGTGGTCATAACTTCCATTTCCAATTTGATTAGCTCTCTGCCCTTAGGCGGTTATTTAACCTCTCTAAGTCTCAGTTTTCTCCCCTGTAAATTGAAACGATACCAAGAAAACTGCCCGATGTTGGTCACTTTGAGGTTCCAGTGAGACAGATAACACATGTCAAGAACTCACTGATCTGTTGGCAAGTGGGATACTCAGCAAACATCAGCTGGTGTTATGATCATCATGGTTCCGTCATCCATTCCTTGTTGAGGTCAAGGAAAGAGTTATTTCCTCACAGCTATGTCTGCAGCCTGTGGTAGACATGGAAGAATGTGATGGAAGAGCTCCCAGGCCCTGCCATCAAGGAGATGTGACCTTGTTATGACTCGGGTCGGAAATTGTCAAGGTCCATGTGCCTGGAGTCATTGAGGGGCTGGGCCTTGGAGGATACAGGGATGTAGGTGTGCAGAGGAAGGAAGCCTCCAGTGAAGGCAAGGATCTGTGCAAAGGCTCAGAACCAAAAGTGCTCCTGGGCCCTTCCAGGAAGAAGCTGGGGGTGAGGTTGGACAGACCCTGTAGGGCCCAGGATGCCAGCGGGAGCCTGGACGTGTTGGGGGCAGGATGTGATGCAAGGGCAGTGCTGGCCATGCTGCAGGAGTTCCCGCCCCACCTGCCTTGCAGACCTGGGGGAGGACATGGTGAGAAGGGCTTTTGTCAACTGCACAGACACACAGGATGATTATTATTTCGGGAACAAGAAGGGCTTAAGGGAGAATGCAAGCCCCATAAGAACTGGGCTGTGTTTATCCAGCTCAGAAGAGCCTTACTGTGGAGATTTGTCCAGAGAGAGTAGCAGAAGGCTCTCAGGGTCCCTTGTCACCATGTCTGGTCTGATCTATACAAGGTGCCTGGAGGAAGCCTTTCTGGACTTTCCAGATCTTGCTGAGGAGGCAGAGTGCTCAGTGAGTCCCTGGTTTTGTTGAGTTCCTGCTGACAATGCACCAGCAAAGGCCTTGGGGCCTTTACATTTGTTATCTCATGAAGTCCTGAAGGCAGTGCACGGAGTTAAGCTCGATTAGCCCCATTTCACAGATGAGAAAGCAGAGACCCTAAAGCTGTGTCTTCTCCATGGAGGTAGGTCTGCTCAGCCAAGGTCCTCTGTCCTCACAGTCCCCAGACGTTGGACGTGCGGCTGGGCTACAGCCTGTGCCCCGAAGAGCTGGAGTTCCTGCAGAAGCGCAAGGTGGTGGTGGCTGAGGCACTGAAGCAGGTGCTGCAGCTGGAAGAGGACCTGCAGATGGATGAGGTGGGTAAGCAGAGTCAGCTGGCCCAGCTCAGTGCCTGCTCTGAACTCATCCTTTCAACACTGAACTCTGACGTCTGCCCCCAGCCCTCCCCTGCCCAGGCCAGCCTTGGGGCTGCCTGTCCTGGTTGCTCTTAGCGCGAAGGTCCAGTTAAGGGCTGTGTTGGGTATGAGTCACTTGTGTTCACAAGGGGAGAGGGAAGCAGAGTAGAGAGAGAGAGGAAGGAGTATGAAAAGACCCTCAGGTGACAAGATGGCCTCCTCTCCCAGCCAGGAAGACATGTGACACTCCACCTCCTCCCACACCTTACACCTCCGCCCAGAAGGCCGTAGGACCTTCATTCTTCATTCTCCCTTCTCCCAAAGTATGCAGGAGCACTCACACACCCAGAGAGAACAGCAGGCGGAAGCTGGAGCGAAGCAGCTTCTACTCACATGGCCAGCTCCTTCCCCTTTGTTAGAGCCCTCTGTCACCGCCCTGGTGAGGACTGAGGCCCACAGTCCCCTGGGCAGCGGGTCAGTCCTCGGAGTGTTTGCTTTCTGAGGTCGACCATAGGTGTGGATGGAGACCTCATGCCTGAGGAGGACTGTGCCGGGGCATTAGCCAACAGAGGGGTCTTACAGTCTCCACTCAGATGAAAACACTTACAGTAAGTCTTGGCAAAGAGCCTCCTCCTCCCATCTTTAGGGAAACACACCAAGGACATATATAGCAAACCTATGTCAACCCAGAGGTGACAACCCTGCCCCATCCCATTTCAGAAATCCACTTCCTCCTGCTCTTATACATATGGTATATGTTAGGCACCTACCATGCACCAAGCCTGATGCCTTCACGTCAAATCCCTCTATAGAAGATAATCAATTTGCAGCCATTAAGGAATTGTACACAAGCTGGGTTATTGGGCAAGCCACCCAGCCCCCTGTACCTCCGATTCATCATGTGTTCATTGAGGGCTGGACTACCAGTGCTAAGAACTCTTCCAGACAAGACCTCCGGATTTACCAAGCCTGTGGAGGCTTCAGAGCCCTCTACTGACACCAACTACTGGATTTGGAGCTAAGGTCTAGTTTTACACATACTGGGTGGCCACCGGGAAAGACAGTGTTCAGGTCGCTCAGCACCCCACTCTGCTCTGTGTGGCCAGCTCTCCCTCCTCCACTGTCCTTCTCAGCTCCTGTCTATCACTCCAAGGCTTCTTCACCCAGCATTGCGCGAACAGCCTGCCTCTCTGTCCCAGATCCCGCTCATAGCCATCATGGCCACTGGAGGTGGAACGCGATCCATGACCGCCATGTATGGCCACCTGCTGGGGCTGCAGAAGCTGAACCTCCTGAACTGCGCCAGCTACATTACTGGCCTGTCAGGAGCCACCTGGTAAGGAACCGGGGCTACTGTCTGGTGGAGCCCAGAGCAAACAGCTAAAGGCCAGCCTGGGGTCTCTGGTGAAGCTCCCTGTGCCCATGTAAGAGGGACCTGGGCAGCTCTACCACCTACAGCGGTGCACATTCAACTTCTCTGAGTCTCAGTTTCCGCGTCTGTAAAGCAAGGATAATAATAGTACCGACCTCATGGGGTTGCTGGAGAGGTTCTCCCTGTACTGGGTACGTGGAAGACACTATACACATCATACACACTGGTCATTACTGACGTTACTGTTTCCATGGGGCTATGCAGGGACCTGGGAGCATGGTGGCCAACCACGAGGGAACTCCTGGTGCCTCTGATCCCCTCCTGCTGGTGAAAGGCAGCCGCTCTCTCTCCTGGGGGTGCATCACGAGCCCAGGGAAGGAGGAGCTGGCCCAGCTGCCCTGGTTGCCCACACTCCAGCCCACCACCCATCCCTGCCACTCCCTCTGCCCTGCAGGCTTCCCAGGCTCCCGCCTCCCACTCTGCAGGTGAGCAAGGAGGGGGAGAACTTGGCCCTCCGGCGAGGCCGGCGTGAGGGTGGCTTCTCCACAGGAACCTCTATGCCTGGTCTCACAGACCTTGTAGGGCCACCAAAGTATTTTCTTTTCAAATCAGAAGAAAAACATGAACGTCTAGGTTGAAGACAATATTTTAATAAGAATATTGGTATTTCTGTCTTTATACAGTCATAAAACAAAAAATGTTTTATCTCTTTTCTTTTTTTTCCTTTACTTTTATTAATTAATTTATATAAAACAAAATTTTTAATATGCTTACAATGAAAGGGGCCACCAGGGTCATAATGCAGCCCTGGTCCAGTGTGGCCAGGGCCCTCTGACCATCCAAGGCCTCTCTACCAGGCCCGTGCCTTATTCTGTCGGGGTGATGGGCCTCTGAGCCTTCGAGGTCCCAGGTTGTGGGCGTCATCCTGGAGGCACTCTGGGTGGCTTTCATTGGGGAATGGATGTGAACTGCCCTAGGAAAACCAAGGGCTCCTGGGGCAGGAGGGGCCCCGAGGCTCCAGCCCAGATGGGATATAGAAGCTGACGTTATGGGTGTTGCCTCTGCGCCTGAGGTGACTATTTCCAATGGGTCATCTCATTTGTTCTTCATAATAAAACAGCCCTGGCTGGTTGGGCTCAGCGGTTAGAGCGTCAGCCAGCGGTCTAAAGAGACCCGGGTTCGGTTCCTGCTAAGGGCATGTACCTCGGTTGCAGTTTGTCCCCAGCCCTGGTTGGGTCGTGTGGGTGGTAACCACTTGATGTGTCCCTTTCACGTGGATGTTTCTTTCTCTGTCTCTTCCTCTCTCTCCCTCCCACTCTATCTGAACAAAAAAATGAAAAAATGTCCTTGGGTGAGGATTAAAACAAAAAAAAGTAACCAAATGAACCTTATGGGGAGCAGGGTGCATTTTGTTGAAGAAACCACCTGACCAACCTCTACCTTCCCTGACCAGAAACAAGTCCTGTGAAGGAAGAGGCCACAGTTCAGACAACTAACTGTACAGCCACAGACAAGGTCCACGGTGGGGGGATCCTGGGTGCTGTCCTGACACGACAGAAAGCTGGGTCCAGGACAAGAAGAGGCAGCAGGGACAAAGACCCAGGGCCAGGGGGACCCCCCACCTTTCTTTTACTCCTCCCCGCTGCCCACATTTAAGTTAAGAAGGGAAAACAAACCTTCAGCCAGCATCACAATTATGGGAATGACGTGGCAGAGCGGAGACAGTCTTGGACGCGGAATGAGCGGAGCCTGGGTTCAATGACGGCTCCACCACCCCGCGGCCCAGCACGCAGTGCCAGGTGTTCCTCTAACACGTTCCACTGCATTAACTGATGTAATCTTCACAGTAACTATGTGAGATACGTATAATTATCGCAGCTCTCTCTCTCCACAGCTGGTGAAACTCAGGCAAAGAGTGGTTAAGTAACTTGCCCCAGATAACATAGCCAGTGAGTGGCAGAGTCTGGATTTGAACCCAGGAGGATCTGGGTCCAGAATCCTCACTCTTTAGCAACACACTATGCCTGGCACGCAACAGGCAACCAGGAAATGGTAGCAATTGTGACTATGTGTAATAACGTTTACCCCCTTTCCTCCAGCCTTCTCTCCTGCCAGGGTCTGGGTTGATGGGACCAGGCCTGGCTTAACTCTATAGCCATGCCTGTCTTTCTCCAGGACCATGGCTACCTTGTACCGTGACCCTGACTGGTCCTCCAAAAACCTGGAGTCTGCCATCTTTGAGGCCCGGAGGCATGCCGTCAAGGACAAGATGCCTGCCCTGTTCCCAGACAAGCTTCGCAAATTCCAGGAGGAGCTCCGGCAGCGCAGCCAGGAAGGCTACAAGGTCAACTTCACAGACTTCTGGGGCCTGCTGATCGAGGCCTGTCTCGGGGATGAGGTAGGTCCCAGCTTCTCCTGGGCCACAGCCTGCCCTGGCTAGTGTCCAGCTCTCTTCCTTCATCAGGGTGTCTGGACTTGTCTTGCAGCAGGAGGGAGTTAGGTTGGACCTGCAGATGTACCCTTGCACTGGAACAGGGGTGAGGTGCCCAAATGTGTGATGGAAAAAGGTGGACTGTCTTCCCGCATCCCTTTACATATGACTGAGACCCACTTGTTGGGGATGGCTTAGGTGCAACCCTGCAGAGACGTAGCAGGTCCTCTGAGAACCATATCAAGAAAGGTTCCTTCCTGGGAGAGAAAATAGGGAAGGTAGCTGGGAAAAGCTGGAGAGCCATCAGACTGTGGTGCAAGTCTGGCCCCTAGTGGAGGTGAGAGGGAAGAAAGGCTGTGTGTGGTCTAGAAGGTTCATCAAGGCCTTTGAGAGTCCTCCAGCCACATTGGCCATCAGAGGAGCCCGACACTCCCTAGAATGGGCCTGCCTCAGTGTCCCTGCCCTACTCGGTAAAGGGCTGGGAGCCCCCATGGGAAGTGTGGCCTCAGCACAAACTTAGCATGGACTTCAGAGCACAGCAGCTAGGACCCTCACTCAAGGACACTCCCTGTAGTTGGAGGTCTGCAGGGCTCCTTCTCAGCCACTACACAGATGATGGGCCCAATGAGGTTCCTTCCTGCTCTAAGCTGCTGGATATCAGGGCGAGCTCAGCTAACACCTAGATCCTTCCGGCTGCACAGGCCCCAGGAGGACCAACTTTGTTGCTTGGTCCCAGAGCAGAGCTTCCCACCTTCTATTCAGGCCTGTGGCTGTATGCCCCACTCCCAAAGATGTCTGAGTTCTGATTTCAAATCACAGTTTTTCAGGAGAAGAGACCAAATTATTTTCTAGTAGGTCTCCTTTTCCAGTAAACTCAGACAATTTGAGCAACCAAGGATGGCCCAAGCCACATCTTCAACTTTCATTCATTTCCTCATTCAATCTTTTAACAAATTAAGTACCTCCTACATGCCAGGAAGTATGCTAGGCCACAGGGATTTGGACGTGAGGCACTCATAGCTTTTGATGGACTCCACCCCACTCTGCCCCCTTTGGTAACCCACCATCTAACCTGTCCTCATGATGAAGCAGGGCAGGCAGACTGAGGGTGTTGCCTTTGGACTCAGGCAGGATGGGGTTTAAAGTCTGGCCCTGTTCTGTGCTAATCCTTGAATGGGAACTACATCAATAAGTGATAGCTGATATTTGTAACGAGTCAGTGCCCCATGTGATGAGGAGGAGGAGAACACCAAGGCCTCAACCTCAGAAGTCTGAGCGCTGGCCCCTGTGTTTGGTGTGGGGAAGAGCCGGGGTTCCTCGGAAAACAAGACGGGTTAACGTTAGGAGGCCCGAAAACAAGACTAGGGTTAACGTTAGGAGGCCTCTGCTCTTCCACTCTGGTCAAAAGTAGGATCCCCTTTCCCTTGTGCCCCCTTGACAATGTGTGTGGACGGGCTCTTCTGTGAGTCTACAACTTCCTCTACTCCCAGGGCAGTCAGCCTTGTGGTGCCCAGATCTCTGGGCCCAGTTACGACAGGTATCCTATTTGCCTTTCAAGGGAGGCCCAAGAGTTGTTTGGCCCACACATGTGTACCATCCCACAGAGGTTCCATGGCCTTCACAAGCTTGGATAACCATGGCCACCTGGTAGGCAGCTGCTTGGCCCAGAATCAATACCTGGGCCTCTAAGATCTCAACTGGCCTTGTCTACACTGTCTGATTCACTTTGAGGTGTCCTGTGCTCCTCGCTGTTCTGCAGGACTCCCACTCTGATTAAACAGCACAGTGCCCTAGGGACTTAGAGGCACCTTGGCTGCCATCTGGTGCCCAAGTTTCTAAGCCTTATGTTAAAAGAAGGAGGAGGAGGAAGAAAAGAAAAAGGAGACTTCCGGTCAAGATGGCGGCGTAGGTAAACTCGGTATCGCGTCCTCCCACAACCACATCAAAGTTACAACTAAACTACAGAACAACCATCATTCAAAACCACCTGAAATCAAGCTGAATGGAAGTCCTACAACTACGAAATTAAAGAAGCCGCATCCAGACTGGTAGGAGGGGCGGAGGCGGACGGGCTGGTCCCACACCCACGTGTGGCGGATAAAAATCAGGAGGACACTTGGTTGGGAAGGTCCTCCCTGAGGACTGAGGGGGTCCCCGTCCCACACCAGGCACCCCACTCAGGGTTCCCGTGCTGGGAAGAAAAGTCCCCATAACTTCTGGCTGGAAAAACCAGCAAGAACTGAACACCAGGCGTCTCCTCTTAAAGGGCCCCGCGCACGGACTTATCGGACTCTCTCCCTCAAAGCTTGGAGGGGAGGCAACTCGAGGGGCACCAGAGACATACAGGGAAGAACCGAGCTGTTTGGCATTGGAGCGAGGGCTGGAGAGGGGGCTTTCTCCAGGACAGACGTGCTGTCAGAGGCCTTTGTTCCTTTGGTGAGCCCTTCCCTGGGGCGGCAGACAGCCACCATATCTGGGACTCCAACAACCTGGCTCATACAGGTTGCCCCGCACTGGTGATTCCCTGAGGCCCTGCCCCACCCAACTTTCAGGCCCACCCAAGCTGTTACCAGTTGATTAATTATAGGATTAGCCTGTCTTGGATCCTGCTTCAGGTTTTCCTAAATTCTTTCAAACAAGCAGCATCTGGTCTCAGCGAGCCCCATACCTCTCGTTAAGTAATACATAGAAACAAACACAGGGAGGCAGTCAAAATGAGGAGACAAAGAAACAGGTCCCAAATGAAAGAACAGAACAAAACCCCAGGAAAAGAACTAAGCGAAATGAAGATAAGCAACCTAACAGATGCTGGGTTCAAAATACTGCTTATAAGGATGCTCAATGAACTTAGTAAGGACCTCATTGAACTCAGTGAGGGCCTCAAGAGCATAAAAAAAGACCTGTCAGAATTGAAGGAGGCATTAACTGAAATAAAGAATAATTTACACAGATTCAATAGTAGAGTAGGTAAAGCCAAGAAGCAAACCATTGATTTGGAATATAAGGAAGCAAAAAATGCCCAATCAGAACAGCAAAAAGAAAAAAGAATCCAAAAAAAATGAGGACAGTGTAAGGAGCCTCTGGGTCAACTTCAAGCATGCCAACATTCACATCTTGGGGGTGCCAGAAGGAGAAGAGAGAGAACAAGAAATCGAAAACCTGTTTGAAACAATAATGGCAGAAAACTTCCCTAACTTGGTGAAGGAAACAGACATACAAGTCCAGGAAGCACGAAGAGTCCCAAACAAGATGAACCCCAAGAGGCCCACACCAAGACACATCATCATCAAAATGCAAAAGGTTCAAGACAAAGAGAGAATCTTAAAAGCAGCAAGAGAAAAGCAGTTAGTTACCTACAAGGGAGTTTCCATAAGGCTGTCAGCTGCTTTCTCAGAAGAAATTTTGCAAGCCAGAAGGGAGTGGCAAGAAATATTCAGAGTGATGAAAAGCAAGAACCTACAACCAAGATTACTCTATCCTGCAAAGCTGTCATTTAGAATCGATGGCCATATAAAGACTTTCCCAGACAAGGAAAAGCTAAAGGAGTTCATCACCTCCAAACCATTATTATATAAAATGTTGAAGGGTCTTCTTGAAGAAAAAGATAAAAAATATGAACAAACAAAATGGCAATGAATACATAGCTATCAACAATTGAATCTACAAACAAAATGAACAAGCAGAACAGAAACATTTTCATAGATACAGAGAACATTTTGTTGGTTGCCAGATGGAAGGGGGAATGGGAAATGGGTGAAAAAGGTGAAGGGATTAAGAAGTACAAATTGGTTGCTAGACTGACAAACCTCATAGAGAAGGGGGTTTAGGGGGTGGGAAAAAATACACCAAAGAACTTATATGCATATATGCATAACCAATGAACAGACAACAGTGTGGGAAAAGGCAGGAGGGGGGGCAGGAGTGGAGAGGAGGGGGGGTCAATGGGGGAAAAGTGAGGAACATCTGTAATACATTCAACAATAAAGATATAATTAAGCCCTGGCCGGTTTGGCTCAGCAGTTAGAGCATCGGCCTGAGATCCAGAGAGACCTGGGTTCTGTTCCTGCTAAGGGCACGTACCTTGGCTGCAGTTTGTCCCCAGCCCTGGTTGGATCGTGTGGGTGGTGACCGGTCAATGTGTCCCTTTCACCTCGATGTTTCTCTCTCTCTCTCTACCTCCCACTCTATCTGAACAAAAAATGGAGAAATGTCCTTGGGTGATGATAAAAAAACAAAAAATATATATAATTAAAAAATTTTAAAGAAAAAGGAGAAGGAAAAGAAGAAGAAAAAAAGAGACAATAATCTTTTTTCCTTCTCCCAAGCATATTTTATGCAACATGCAAAGCAGATAAGAAAAATGGAGCCCTGGCCCGTTTGGCTCAGCGGTTAGAGCATTGGTTAGAGTCCCAGGTTCAATTCCTGCTAAGGACGCATACCTCAGTTGTTCCTCCCCGACCCCAGTTGGGGTCGTGTGGGCGGCCACCAGTTGATGTGTTTCTCTCATATCAATGTTTCTCTCTCTCTCGTCTTCCCTCTCTCCCTCCCACTCTGACGATAAATGCAAACAAAAATGTCTTCAGGTGAGGATAAAAAAAGGAAAGAAAGAAAAATGGAGCTGCTTTAGTTTGAGTGGGTGGAAGATGATGGGGATGAAGAGGGGCAGCAGTTGCCTCTTCCACCCCGGCCTCTTCATTCTCTGGTTCCCCAGATACCAGGAGAACCCCAGGACTCTAAGGGACAGCCCTAAATTTCAGATCCAGTCCCACCCCATTCACATGTCTGGAGTGGTGAACAGTCCAAGAATAAGTGTACTTCTACCAATGCTTTTTTTTTTTTTATCCTCACCCGAGGATATTTTTCCATTTTTTGTACAGATAGAGTGGGAGGGAGAGAGAGGAAGAGAGAGAGAGAGAGAAACATGGATGTGAAAGGGACACATCGAGTGGCTGCCACCCGCACAACCAACCAGGGTCGGGGACAAACTGCAACCGAGGTACACGCCCTTAGCGGGAACCAAACCGGGTCTCTCCGGACCTCAGGCCAACGCTCCAACCGCTGAGCCAAACTGGCCAGGGCTACCAGTGCATTTTAAAAGCAGGTTTAACTGGTGTCAGCTGGGTCTACAAAGCAGTCTGGTGGGCTTAAGAGGTCCAGACTGTGCCCTTATTCTGGGCTGCCTACTTCTTTTCCTTAACCATCCTGTTTTCCCGTAGAGAAATGAATGCAAACTGTCAGAGCAGCGTGCTGCTCTGAGCCACGGCCAGAACCCCCTGCCCATCTACCTCACCATCAATGTCAAGGATGATGTAAGCAACCAGGATTTCAGAGGTAACACTGATGACTAGCAATTTACAAAGGGGTCCCTTTTCAGCAGGCAAAGGCACCCTGCACCCAGCACACACAGGCCCCCACACCTTTGCCAACCAACCTCCACATCAAAAGGTGCTCCTGACAGCTGAAGAAATTGACTTTGCTACCCCTTTCTGCCCTGATGGTGGGGGAACGGGCACGGAGACAGGGTCCCCTGGCTTCTCTGGGTGGCAGTTTGATAGGACTGGGGAAATAAAGGTCATGAGGGAAGGGGTCCTAGATACTTCTTAAGTTGCCCAGAGGGGGCAACTCTAGAGATCTGCCCTGCTTTGGGGTCAGCCCTGCTTTGGCATCAGTTTTGGTCTATTTATCTGGGGTTTTTTTTCTTCTTTATTGATTTTAGAGACAGAGGAAGGGAAAGGGAGAGAGAGAGAGAAATATCGATGAGAGAGAACATCAATTGGCTGCCTCCTGCATGCCCCCTACTGGGGATTTGGCCCACAACCTGGGCATGGGCCCTGACCAGGAATCGAACTGGCGACCTCTTGGTGCATGGATCAATGCTCAACCACTGAGCCACACTGGCAGGGCTATTTATCTGGTTTTGAAGAGCAAATGTGTGGTGCACTTTGCAAAACTGTCTTGCCCCACCAGCACCAGGTAGCCATGGCACCCCCATGTGGGAAACTATGGCCTCACTGTCAAGGTCTTCCCAAGGGAGGGGCTCTGTTTCCAGTGGTCAAGATGGAGGGCATGGCTATACCCCTCAAGACTGACCCCTGTTCTGCTTTTGTGCAGAGTGGTGCGAGTTCTCCCCATACGAGGTGGGCATGCAGAAGTACGGGGCCTTCATCCCCACCGAGCTCTTCGGCTCTGAGTTCTTCATGGGACGGCTGATGCGGAGGATCCCAGAGTCTCGGATGTGCTACATGCTAGGTGACTCCTGATGAGGGGAGGCCCCTGGGAACCCTGCCCCATTCTGAGAAGGGCTCTGCCTTTGAGTTAGAGAATGACAGGGAGGCATGCTCTGTTCCCCCAGGAATTGTCCCAGGTAAGACTGGGAATATCAGGCTGAGACGGAAGCTTCTGGAACTCCCATCCCTTTCCCCTCTGGCTCCAGGCAGCAACATGCCTGCTTCTAAGGCCAACCTAGCTCCTGGGATCCAAGGGGCCAGAGGGGACCACAGGGTGCAATCAGAGCCCCTGAGGAAGCCTGGCCCAGCTCCCAGCCCTATGCCCCTGGTCCTCCAGAGCCAGATGCTCCAAGTGCAGGGCCTAACTATGATGTCCACTCACGTAGTTCTCCCCTTCAGAGTCTGAACTTCTTCCACCAAAGGGCGACCTCAAAACACAGACCATTTTTATATCCTCACCAGAATTATGCCCTTATTTAAACTAGTTTTCTGCACCCCCATCTCTTCCGTCTATCCCAATCTTGCCCATCCCAAAAGGTCCAAATCAAGCCCCACATCTTTTGTGAAGCCTTCCCGAAAGGCCCCAGCCCAAGGTGGCCTCTCCTTCTCTAAACACCTAGACTATTGGGTATGTGGTTCAGAGATCTGGAGTTAAAACACTTGGGCTTAAAGTCTCTGAGCCTCAGTTTTCTCATTTGTAAATTAGGCTTAAGAGTAAAATTTCTTAGGAGGATCCAAGTGAGTCAACATATATAAAAGACTTCATAAGAATATTATTATTAATGTATTACCTTTTAGAATCATGACAACAAGAGATAGCATTACATCTATCAAGTGTGTTAACTGATGCAAGAGTGGGCATTTGGACTTGAACTTGAAGCCTGCACCTGTCAGCATTAAGGGCTTCTGGGGCTGTGCCCGTGTATATGTTGTACCCTCTCCCAGATGAGAGGAGAGTGGAGAAGGGCTGAGAGTTGGGGGTCATTAGTCATCTGGGAGAGGGACATCAGTGTCTGTTCCACTGTCTGAGCAGCCTGACTTGGAGTGGGAATCGAGGCCAAAGCAGAACCAGTCCATGTCTGGGTGAATCTGGGGGCTCTTGGACAGAGCTGCTCACAGCTGGCCCTGCTCCCTAGGTTTGTGGAGCAGCATCTTCTCCGTGAACCTGCTCGATGCCTGGAATTTTGCCCGATCTTCAGAGGAGTTTTTCCACAGGTGGACAAGAGAGAAAGTGCAAGACATCGGTGGGTGACCCACTGGCTTCCCCTCTTGGTTGGGTGATAGGAGGGGAGTGATGGAGAGCAGTGGATCACAAACTGAGGACTAGTCCACCTGTCACGTGTTTCAGTATCATCTCTGTGGCCCACAAACGTGGGAAGGCAACTTGGTCTAGAGGGTCTCCCCTGCCTGGAAGGGAGGGTGATTGTCAGTGCAGACATACGCACCCAGGCCCAGCCACGAGCCCAGGGGACCAGCTCTAGGTGGTCTAGGAAGTGGATCCGCTGTGTAGTCTGCGGCACCCAGGAGAGCTGACGGGGTAGGGATCTGTGAGCATAGTTAAAGGTTGCTTGTCTAGACCATCTTCTCTGGAACTCCTCCTTGCTTGGCATCCCCACCCCCACACTCCTGTTCCCTGCCTCTCACCTGGGTGCTCCAGTTCCGATGCCAGGGTCTTGAGAGCTAGGCAAGGAAGGTGTGACGGCACTTACAGTGGCTCACCCCTGGGCGTTGGGCCACCATGCAGGGCTTCACCTGAGCGATCTGGGACCCCGACTCTTGTGACCTGCTCTCCATTCCCCTCTCCCTTGCAGAAGATGAGCCGCTCCTTCCTGAAATCCCCAAATGTGATGCCAACGCCCTGGAAACCTCGGTGGTGATCCCAGGGTCATGGCTCTCCAACACTTTCCGCCACATCCTCACCTATCGGTCCTTTGTGTCTGAGTTCCACAACTTCCTGCTGGGGCTGCAGCTGCACACCGACTACCTCCAGAACGGCCAGTTCTCCAAGTGGAAAGGTACCCCTACCTGGCTGCTCCTTGAGACCTGCCTCTGTTTGGAGAAAGGAAAAGTGGATGCAGAGGCTGCCATAGAGAGAGGACGAAAAACCTCCTCCGGCCATGTTCATGAGCTCATGTAGCAGACCCCCCCCCCCCCCCGCCCGCGGTACATTCCTGGGTGAAGTCTTGAACAGTGGGTGGAGTGTATCCATCGTTAGTTAATGGAATCTGTGCAACAATCTCAGCAGGTAGAAGTTGGCCCATTTTACAGATGGGGAAATGTGGGCCCTGACTTTCTGCAGTTGTGCTCTGGGGGCACCTTTTCTTTTTTTTTTTTTTTATCCTCACCCGAGGACATTTTTCCATTTTTTGTTCAGATAGAGCGGGAGGGAGAGAGAGGAAGAGAGAGAGAGAGAAACATCGACGTGAAGGGACACATCGAGTGGCTGCCACCCACACGACCAACCAGGGCCTGGGACAAACTGCAACCGAGGTACATGCCCTTAGCGGGAACCGAACCCGGGTCTCTCTGTACCACAGGCCGATGCTCCAACCGCTGAGCCAAACTGGCCAGGGCTGGGGGCACCTTGTCATGTGAATGGCGCCACCTTGAGTTGGGCAGGGATGGCGCAGCTCCAGAACCCCCAAGTGGGAAGTAGCCAACCAGGCCGTAGACTTTGGTCCTGCAGCTTCAACCCAGTGCCTCCTCCCCACCCTGTGAAGGCTCCGAGGTGGCTTTTCCACCATCTTTGGTATTTTATCTGTCCACCGCCTGCAAATGGCTGCTCGAGTCTGGCCTAGTAATTCTCATCCTCACAGTCTGGGCAGGAAGGGCAACTGGCTCTGGGCCCTGAGTTTGTACCAATTTATAGGATAGTCTTACGCCCCTGCTCCCCCACAAGCCCTGTGGCTGAGTCATAGTGGGCTTTCTCTGCATATCCCATAAAAGGCTTGCTACAACCCCAAGACAATGCCATTTTTCATCAGCTCCAGAGGGGCACCCACTCACCTGGGCCACCTGGACAGAAGCAGGAGGGCTGGAGGTCCAGGCTGAGGTGAATGAGTTCTGGGCGGGGCACTCCATCCCCACCAGTACCTCTGACCATCTGCCAAATTGGGGTGCCGAGATGTGACAGTAACTGGAAGCCTTGGATTTCAGACACTGTGCTTGACAGCTTCCCGAACCAGCTGACAGGGTCCGTGAACCACTTGTGCCTGCTGGACACTGCATTCTTTGTCAACTCCAGCTACCCTCCCCTCCTCAGGCCGGAGAGGAAAGCTGACCTCATCATCCACCTCAATTATTGCGCCGGGTCCCAGACAAAGGCAAGTGTGGCAATAAAACACTCTCCCCTCTGAGAGGGGCCCAACCGTGAGCTCCCTACAGGCTCCAAGATTTAGCGCCAGAGAAACTCAAGCTGCAATGCATGCTGTGAAGGGGGCCCTCAGACCTCGGGGGCAGCTTCACACGCGGCGCCCCCCCCTCCAGCCCCGGGTGTTGGAAAGACTCATTGAGCTAATTCCAGTTCTTGCATCTGTTTGCTATATTTGGCAATTTCTCAGCTGCAAAAAAGGAGTTTTAAAAAATAACCTTCATAGACCCCAGTCAGTTCTAAAGTTTTATGCCACTTTAAGAGCTCGAAATGTCCTATTTTCAAAATCATCACACTGCCCCCCTCTCCCAGGGAATAAGACCCTTTGTGTAGTTATGCTAAAGAACCAGGACCAGAGGAGTTTTTTATTTCTTTGCTTTTGAAAGGTTCTGGCCTTTTAAGGGAACAAAGCTAATTTTTGGCCTATACTTGAATACAGTCCCATCCCGAAGGCAGGACAAGGGGAGTGTAGATGGATTTGTGACAATGATAATTACCTAAGTTTGTAAATGAGTGGCAGCCCTTCCTACGTGACCTCTCCTGATCCTTATACCAGCTCTTTGAGGTAGATGCACAACTGCTGCTATTCCCATGCTGTAGCTGAGGAAACTGAGGCACAGAGAGGGTAAGTGGCTTAAGATCACACAGCTAGTGAGCATGGTACAGGGGGCAGTCTGAGGGGGTTCTGACCCTCCAAGTTCACTGCTCTTTCTGTTCCATTGAGTTTGTAAAGAGACCCTGTCAGAGTCCGTCCAGGAGCCTGTCTCCCAGGAGCCTGCCAGCATGGCTGTGCATGGCCCAGCCTGTCACCCTCAGGTTGCCACCTACATCCCATCTACCCAGGCCTGTGTTGGAGGGAAGCGTCTTCCAAAGCACTTCTGACCATTTTACGAGGGAAAGGAGCTTGCGGTTTGACACACATCAACCTACTGCCTCGGGCCCTTTGTTCTGACCTGGCTTTGTTCTAAAAATAGCACAAATAGGCCAAGCAGTTGGAGACCTGAGTTGTCAGCTGGGGAAATCAGGAAGCTGGATCTAAGATCTCTGTGTTTTTTCTTCACCCCCACCCCTCCTAATACGCAAACATATCCTCCTGTGATATTCTAGCCAATGAAACAAACCTGTGAGTACTGCACGGTGCAGAACATCCCCTTCCCAGATTATGATGTGCAAGAGGAGGGGAATAGTAATCTCAAGGAGTGCTACCTGATGGAGAACTCCCAGGAACCTGATGCCCCCATTGTGCTCTTCTTCCCACTCATCAACGACACCTTCCAAAAGTACAAGGCCCCAGGTAAGTCACCTGCGAGCTGTTCCACTGCCCTCCGGCCTTGCGCTGGGAGCTCCTGACTTGTAACTTACACCGTCTTCTAATAGCGCTCACGGGAAGCCTGGCTTAGCTCTAGTCTGAGCCAGACTTGGTTTGGCAAGAAAGAAAAAACTCCCACGCCCCACCCCTATGAGCTGGCAGTGTCAAACTTTACTCTCAAACTCGGTCGCTCAACATTTATTGAGGTCCAGCTATGTTCCTGGCATGTGTTGGCTCCAGGGCAATCCTAAGATGGGCAAGCTGCGTCCCTGCCCCAGGAGCTCGGAGGTGTGCGTGCAGGTGTGCACGTGCGTGTGTGCCCGTGCGTGCAGAGGGGGCTGGGGGAGAGGCAGGGCACAAGTCCTGCTACCTAACATAATAGTCCATAGCAAGTCCTTCTTCTTCCTCCAGGTGTGGAGCGAAGCCCTGAGGAGATGGAGAAGGGCCAGGTTGACATTTATGGCCCCAAAACTCCCTATGCCACCAAGGAGCTGACATACACGGAGGCCGCCTTTGACAAGTTGGTGAAGCTCTGCGAGTACAACATCCTGAATAACAAAGATCAGCTCCTTCAGGCCTTGCGTATGGCTGTGGAGAAGAAGAAACTCCAGAAGAGCCAGTGTCCCTCAGCCCCGGGGAGCTCCGCTGATCCTGCGCCTGCTTCCACCGTCCCAGGTGCAGAACCTGCAGAGCCCCTCTCTGGCAAGGGGTGCAAGCAGACTGGCCCGGGCTTTCTATCAAAAAAATAAAAAATTTTAAAAGCTGATGGAGACATAGAGAGAGAAAGAGACCATAGGAAAATAACAAGGCATGGATTGGGGTTTTATACCCACTGGAATTTTTTAGTCTTTCCCTGTAGGGAAAGGGGTCTAATAGCCACAGGCTCCCACACATGCATAAAGTGTGGAGAATAAAAGTAATGCCTGAAGAGAAGGCTGGTTCCCAGAAACCTCAGACTCAGAGCTGGAGCTCAGAGCCCTCCCCTCCTGCTCCTCTGCCTCCTGGCAGGGAGGACCCTGGCGAATGCACAAGAGAACCTGAGAAGCACTCTGGGTTCTCCGGAAACACACTCTAAAATGTAAGGCAACTATATTCTTGTGAATTTTGTAGGCAATTCTATTTTATTTTTATGAATCAAGATAGTAATAGGGAGCATGATGCTAGAAGATCTGGATGGAGCACTAGAGATACCCTGTTCTCTTCATCAACAAAGCCAAACAGGTGACAGGTTTCAGCAGCCCTTCGGTAGCCACTCAGCTCCAGGACTGGTGACTCCCATGATCCCAATCAGACGGCCCCATCTGAGCACTCAGCTCCAATGAAATGCCAGGCAAAGCCCAAGTCTGCAACTCAGATTCATGGTACAAGAAACTGTGATGCAGCTCAGGAGTGTCTTGGCAGGTAAATGGAGTCAGGCGCAAGGTGGGTGATGCTGCCCAGTGCCACCCACTCCAAGAGGCTGACGATCACTGACCAACCTGCTTGAGGAACACTTCTCAGTTCTCTTTGCACCCTCCCCTCTGTTTTCCAGATGGGATTATTTATTTCTAAATGGAATTCCTCTTATTTATCATGTAAACACCATGGCCAGCACATCCCAGCTCTTAGAGAATCACCCGAGAGAATGAAACTAAGAAGGATCTACCCAGAAAGGACTAGGTTAGCCCTGAAGAAAAAGCCTGCCCTTGGTGATGGTTTCCAGGTGAATGGGTGGGAAAACCCTGGGATGTACAAGTCAAATCAAAGAATCCAAGTTTCCTATCAGGTTGGGAACTTTAAAAATGTGTAACCAGGTAGATGCAAGGTATGACCGAGAAAGGCATGTGGTCTGCAGAGAGCCCAGCAAACCTGGAAGACATGTCCCTTGTTCTGGGCAACCATGCTCCCTAAGAAGTCCTTTGGTTAGGTGACAAGTGGTGACAGGTGCCAAAAGTTTAGAAAATTTGCCCTCCAATTTACATCCTTGCTACTCAAAGTATGATAGGGAACTGGTTAGAAATCTGGAATTTCAAGCCCTACACCAGCCATACTGAAGCAATCTACATTTTAAGGAGATTCCCATCTCCTCTCCCAAGTCCAGATGCACCACCCTCCCAGGTGATGCCCATGCATATTAAAGTGTGAGAGGTGGGGACCTATGCCATATGTTCCCATAAGCCTGGAAAGCATAGGCAGTTGAGTCCCCTGAGCCACTGATAAACTGGGCTCCTGGACCTGCAAAACTGGTTCCCAGCCAGATAATACTAACCCTGGGATGCCACCCCTTCCCTCCACTACAGCAGCCAGCTGCCTCCACGTTGACATCTTTTCCTTCCATCTGCAATAAACAGGCTCTCCTTAAATGATTGGAGTGAGCCACGCGGCAAGACCTGTTTGTTGTAAGGTCAAGGCAGCCCTGCCTTGGATTCATCAAAGTAGATTGAATGAGGTTTCTAAAACCACTGTACTATTTGAGCACGGAATAAAGTGGCCATGTGGGTAAATGCTGTTGAGTCATCTGCTTTCATTATCTGATGCTGTAAAATATGTATCACTCTTGCCCTCATTCCTGCCCGGCCACTGCCAGAGTTGTAAGAAGGGTGTTTCCATCCCATCCCTCCTCTCCTGTACAGCTCCCTTTTCTCCTGCAGGGGTCCCCACCTTCTTGTGCTCCTCTTTTTATGAAGCCACGTCAGCACCAGTGGAGCACCAGCTCTCGCCGGCCCATGCTGCTTGAAGCTCTGATGGTTCCAGGAAGGAAGGGCAGCCAGTATTAACTGAGCGATTACTTCGTGCACAGTGGTCGCAGTCAGTACACAGCCTCTGCTTTCCAGGAACTTAGATTTGGGTTGAGGGGAAAAAAACAAAAAGATTTTTATATGGATTTGAGAAGTTAAATAGTGACTGAGCATCTAAAACAATGCTGGTGTTATTACAGAGTAAGGGCCACACAAGGGATAAGGACGAAGTATCATCAACTTTAAGAGGGGCAAGGACACAGTGTCTTAGAGAGGTCAGGGAGGTTCCCTCCCCAGGTTCCCTGATGTCTGCCTGTAACATGATTAAATAGAAAAGTTAAATAAAATTCCTCTGTTCCCAGTGTCCCTTCTCCTCGTCTACCTTCTCCTTCTCAGGAGAAGGCCAGCATACCACACTGCCAAGCACCCTGTCCCACAAGATATGTTCTGCTTCTACAGCCCATGAAAACACTTCTCCCCAAGGTCACCAAAGTCCTCCCAATTTCCAGATACACTGATTATGGCACTGGCCCTTTTCGGGGCTTATCTTACTTGATCTCAGCATCTGGCCCTGCCAACCACTTCCTCCTTCCCGAAACTCTCCGTTCCCGTGACTTCCTTGCCAACAGCAGTTCAATTTCGTTTCACTTGCTAATACTTATTGCCTTCCCACTATGTACCAGTCACTATTGTAGGCACTGGGACAATAAAAAGGATTAACAATTGACCCCACACTTCAAGGAGCTTCCTTCTGGACCCATGTAGGAGGTCCACATGGAAACAGAGCCTTGCAAAACAAAGAGAAAGTTCCATATTAGCTGCGCACATCAGGGGCATACACTAGGGCTTGCCAACCCAACCCGAGAAGGAAGGGGCCAGATTTGCTGGATACCTTCTGTCTTAGATTTCTTCCCACTTTCAAGCCTCTCCCCTGGCCTCACCTCCCTGGTTTTCCTTTAAATGTTGGTATTCCCTGAGGTTCTCTCCTTAGCTCGCCTCTCTTCTCACTCAATATTCTGCTAAAGCAATCTTATATACACCCCGGACTTTACCTACATCTTCCATTTTGAAAGCTCTGAAACCTTTAGCTCTAGCGAAACCAATGTTCTAAGTTCTTGATTTATGTATTCAAATTCTATACCAGTTAGCATTACTTTTACTATGTAACACAAAAGATCTGAAATTACAGTGGCTTAAACCAGACAGAAGTTTATTTCTTTCTTATTGATTTTTTTTTTTTTTTTTTTTTTTTAGAGAGAGAGGGAGAAAAGAAAAGAGAGAGAGATAGAAACATCGATTGTCTGCCTCCTGCACACACCACACTGGGTATTCAGCTAATGACCCGGGCATGTGCCCTGACTGGGAATCAAATGGGAATCGAACTGGGACCTCCCAGTCCATGGGACAACACTCAATCCATTGAGCCACACTGGCTGGGCAGAAGTTTATTTCTTGTCAGAGACCTGGGCTCCTTTCAGCTCTTGCTTTGCCGTCCTCAAGTTTGTTTTCTGGTTCATTGTGGCTGCTGCAGCTCCACCCATTATGTCCATATTCCGGGCAGCAGGAGGAAAAAAGGGTCTGAGCTTTTGCTGACTTTGAAGATACCAAACTAGTCCTGGTTTGCTTAGCTCTGGACTTCTTTTCTGTGAAAGAAAACTAAATTTTTATCTTAACAAGATAATAGGAATTACCAACTGTTCCAGTTATCTGTTGCTGAGCAACAACACCCCCCCCAATATAATGGCATTAAAAAACCCACCATTTGATAATGCCCACAGGTTCTGTGGGTCAGGAATTTGGAAAGGGCACCGCATGGGCAACTCCTACTGCTCCATGTGTGGGGACTCAGCTCCAATGACTCAAACTGCTGGGGAGACGCAGATGGCCGGGATTTGGAACAGCTAAGGCTGAAGGATCCACTTCTGAGATGGCTACTTCATTCATTTACCTGGTGCCTGGGATGGAAAGGCTGGGGAGGATGAAGGACAGGCTGGTCTCGGCATAGCCAGTCTTCTCCAAAGGCAGCTCAGGGCTCCAGGAGTGGTGTGACACAGTGGCAGCTGCAAGGAGTATTATGACCTGGTCTCAGAGCACCATTTCCACTGATGCCAGAAGCATTCACAAGCCAGCCTGGATTTCAGGGTAAGGGACACAGACCCCATCTCTTGAGAGGAGGCATGTCAACAAAATGTGTAGCCAAGTTTTAAATCCCATACTGCAATAATTAAATCCTTAAAGTTGACCTGAAGTTGCCTCTCTCCCACTAAGTGAATGTTACATTTTGGGTTCTATCACCACAGACTCCATTTCCAGCAACAAATTCGGTGTCAGTTAGGAATTACTTTAATCTCGAACAGAGACCTGAAAAAATAATGGCTTAAATGCATTCACATAAAAGAAGCCCACAGGGTGGCAGTCCAAGGCTGGCAGAGTGCTTCATTAATTCGTCAGGGATCCTGTTCTTTCCAGCTCTCTGATTTACCGTCCCGTGTGTAGTCCTTGGCCTCATGATCCAAGATGAGCCCTGGAGCTCCAGCCATCATATCCATATCCTAGACTGCAAGAAGGAAGAAGGAGAAAAAAAAGATTGAACTCTTTTCTCTTTAAAGGAGACTTCCTGCAACACATCCTTCAGGTAACAGCAACCAGAACTTGGTCTCATGATCACACATAACAGCAGGGAGACTAGAAAATTTCATTTTTACCTGGTTTTCAATGTGCCCAGCTAAAAATCAGAGTTCTATTACTAACGAAGGATAACTTATAGACAACTGGCAGTCATGCTGCAAGTACCTACCGGACATCTCCACCTGCATTTCCCGTAGGCTACTTCTCCAAGTGGCAGCAGTAACCTGGGTTAGTGGCCACAGAAAAAGAAGAGATGTGTCTGAGAGTGAAGGGGCTCTTCCCAGGCCAAAGTAGCTCCTCTGATCTCCTCATCACACGTCTCCGAGGCCTTTACCCACTCTGGAATGTGAAGTTATCAGTAAGACACTCGCTAGATGTGGTCTAGAGCAAACCTTGTGACCATCAGATTACCAGAGAGAACGGGGGTGGGGGGACTTCCACAAGAATGACAATTATTTTCATATAGTAAAGACAGTTGTAAGTTTTATTACCGAGTTACTTATTTTAAGAATTATTCAAATCAGCCCTGGCCGGTTTGGCTCAGCGGTTAGAGCGTCAGCCTGCGGTCCAGAGAGACCTGGGTTCGGTTCCCGCTAAGGGCACGGACCTCGGTTGCAATTTGTCCGCGGTCCTGGTTGGGTCATGCAGGTGGCAGCCACTTGATGTGTCCCTTTCACGTCAATGTTTCTCTCTCTCTCTCCCTCTCTCTCCCTCCCACTCTATCTGAACAAAAAATGGAAAAATGTCCTCAGGTGAGGATAAAAAAAAAAAGAATTATTCAAATCAGCCCTGGCCAGTTTGGCTCAGCGGTTGGAGCATTGGCTCATGGACCGGAGAGTCCAGGTTTGGTTCCGCTGGGGGCACGTGCCTCCATTGCGGTTTGGCCCTGGCCCCGGTTGGGGTTGTGTGGGTGGCAACCACTTGATGTGTCTATCACATCGATGCCCCCCACCCCCATCTGAAGATAAATGCAAAAATGTCGGGTGAAGATTAAAAAAAAAAAGAATTATTCAAACCAACAAATTTCCAGGCAATTAATAGCACCCCCTATAGAAAAGTCTGTAATAGGATTTAACCTGAAAAACGATTGAATTCAACTTTAAAAAGTGACTAACATTGGAATTGTTTCATCTGAAGCAAGAAAACCAGAAGACTGTCACAACTTGCAAACAGATGCAAGATTACTCTCCTGGGGAGAATCAGTCACTCTCCCAGTCCAAGAGGGCAGAACAAGAACAAGAAAGTGACACTGTGGCTGTAAGAAGACAGAGAAGGAAGGAAAGACATGATGGTGTATCTTTTGGGCCAGACTCTTTCAAGTCTTTCTTTCTTTTTTCCTTCCTTTTTTTTTAGGATTAAAGACAAATTTTTTTTTCTTCCTTAAAATTTTTTCTGATTATAAAACAAGAACATGATTATTGTGTAAAATTAAAAAATGCAAAAGCACATAAAAAAGGAAACTAAAATCACGTATCATTCCAAAACTCAGAGATTATTACTATTTGGGGGTTTATCCTTCTCATCTTTTCATTGGGCACTTTAATTCTTTTTTTTACAAAAGCACAAAAGTCTTATACATTCACTTTTTTAAAAATTGTGGTTAAAAAAAATACCTGACAAAATTTATCATCTTAACTCTTTTTAAGTGTACAGCCCAGTAGTGCTAATTATATTCACATTGTTGTGCAACAGACCTCCAGAATTTTTTCATTTTGCAAAACCGAAACTCTAGACCCATTCAACACAAGGCCCCATTTCACATTCCTCCCAGCCCCTGGCAACTACCATTTTACTTTGTTTCTATGAATCTGACTACGTTAGGTACCTCATGTAAGTGGAATCACACACTATCTGTCTTTTTGTGACTGGCTCATTCCAGTTAGCATAATGTTCTCAAGTTTTATGTAGATTATAGCATGTGACAGGATTTGCTTACTTTTTAAGGCTGAATAATATTTCATTGTATGATACCACTTTTTGTTTACTTATTCATACATCAATGAACACTTGGGCTGCTTTCACCTCTTGACTGTTGTGAATAGTGCTGCTATGAACATGGGTGTACAATATCTCTTAGAGACCCTCCTTTCAATTCTTTTGGATGTATACCCAAAAATGGGATTGCTAGATCCTATGGTAGCTCTATTTTTAATTTTTTGAGGAACCACCGTACTGTTTTCCATAGCAATTGAATGTATTCACTTGAAAAAAACTTTTTTTTTTCCTTCATTGACTCCAGAGAGAACGAGAGAGGGAGAGAGAGATAGAAACATTAATGAGAGAGAACATCAACTGGCTGCCTCCTGTATGCCCCCCACTGGGGATCTGACCCCCATACTGGGCATGTGTCCTGACCGGGAATTAAACCGGCGACCTCTTGGTGAATGGGTCGATGCTCAACCACTGAGCCACACCAGCTGGACACATGTATTCACTTTTCAACTCATTTGGGTAGGTACCAAGAAACACAATTTCTGGATCATACGGTTAGAGTATTTTTATATGGGTTTGTTTTAAAACACATTGAAGCTTTTACTTTTTTGTTGACAAATCCATCAAACTTTTCTTTCATAATTTCTGTCTGGTTTTGTTTAGAAAGGCTTTTTTCTTCCAAATTTAAAAAAAATATGTTTTATGGATTTTAGAGAGGAAGAGAGAGAGACATTAATATTAGAGGGAAACATCCATCAGTTGTCTACTGCACACCCACTACTGAATTTTGAGCCCAGTACCAGCGACCTTTTGGTGCATAGGACAATGCTCAACTAACTGAGCCACACCAGCCAGGGCCCTTCTGAAATTTTATAAATCTTTCCCTGGCCAATTCCCTGGTTAGGGGTGAATGCCTGGGTTGCAGGTTCTATCCCCGGCCCTGGTTGGGGTCGTGAGGAAGGCAACCGATTGATGTGTCTCTCTCACACAGATATTTCTCTCTCTTTTTCCCCTCCCTCCCTTCCATTCTATCTAAAAATCAATGGAAAAATATCCTCAGGCGAAGATCAACAACAACAACAACAAAATAATAAAATTTTATAAATCTTCACCTGTGCCTTCTTCTAGCAGTTCTATGATTTTCATTTTATTTTTGCATTTCAATTTTTGTTTTATTTTGACATGAGGCTAATATCTAATTTCATTTTTCTTGGCTTTCTTTTCCTTCCATATATAGTTTTCTCTAAATATTTGATCCACACAACAACTCCAAAGAAGTTCCCATTTTACAAACAAGAAAACTAAGGCAGAATGGGAACTCATTGCATTTAAGGTCACATAGCCATTACTTTATATAATCAGGATCCAACCCCAGGTCTTTTAATGTCAAGTCCTGTTCTCTCTTCAACACAGTGTTGATACTCAAAGTATGGTCCATGGACGAGCAGCACTGGCAGCACCTAGAACCTTGTTAGAAAAGGGGAGTCTTGGGTTCTATTTGATACCCACTGAATCAGAATCTGCATTTCTATCAAGTTTGAGGAGTATTGTTGTGCATAATAGTTTCCCAAATTTAGAGTACATCAGAATCATGAGGGCCACTTGTTGAGCTCCATCCCTACTCAGTATTTTAACTCAGTGGATCTGGGGTGAGGAGCACACACCTGAATTTTAACAAGCATCCCAGGTTATTCTTATGCAGATGGCTCCATGGATAACACTTGAGAAATGCTCTACAATAATTGAGAAATATTCAAAACTGTAACTTAGGACACCAAAAGTGATGTATGATTTTTTCTTCCCATCTTAATTTAGGTTGTGAGTGTGTGTGTGTGTGTGTGTGTGTGTGTGTTTTAACTTGAAAAAGAGACAGCTGGGAGGTAACAATTAACTCTTTTAAATGTCAATATGTGGAAATTAGTAATCAATGGGGACAATGACTAAATCTTCAATTTTACAGAAAATTAAATAAAGAAAACTAAGGGCAGGAGGCCTTCAATTGATCCAGACTTCAATGGAGGCAGCTTGTTGAAGAGAAACATGTGCTGTACCCAGATAGATTGAAATCTACTTCTTCTACTTCAAATTTTGTCAATTACGTCCGTGAGTCAAGGTCTCCACCAATAAAATGAAGGTAATCATAACCCGCCAGCAGGTAGAAAGAACCTGCCTGTCAACTTTCTGAACTTTTGTCTCCAGTATCGACGTCTATAGGGCGGGGATGGGTGAATATTCCAGGAGACTAAGAGTCTCCGGAGTCTCGTGGGGGTTTTTGTCTGTTGGTTGGGTTTTTTTCTATTTTTATTGGGGGTGAAGGCAATGTTGTTTGTTTTTGCCAAATCAGTTTTGCCCAAAAGCTAACGCCACCAGGCCAGGGGTGGAGACCTGGCGACTCAGGAGGCCCCTTGGTGTCGGGCCTGCGTCACCCGTCAGGAGAAATCCTCTCCCCGCCCCCGCCCTCCAGACCGATTGCGTCATCAGTAATTCATTAAGGACCTCCTCTCCATTGGCCGACACCTTCCCCCTCTGGACGCGGCCCAATGAGGAAGGACTTGAGGGAGCTCTTCTAAATAGTGAACGAGCGCTCGTGACGTAGCGATCGGAGATTGGCTGCAACGGCGCGAGGCGGGGTTAGCTCGAGCGGCGGAGAGCGCAGCTCGGGCAGCTCAGTGCAAGTCAGGAGGGTCGGACCGGAGTCGGGTGGGAGGACCGAGCCGGAGCTGAGAGGGCGGGCGCGGGGCGCGGACCGGCGGACGCGCGGACCGGCGGCAGGATGTTCAGCTGGATGGGGCGGCAGGCTGGCGGGCGCGAGCGCACGGGCGGCGCGGACGCCGTGCAGACGGTGACCGGCGGCCTGCGTTCGCTCTACCTGCGCAAGGTGCTGCCGCTGGAGGAGGCGTACCGCTTCCACGAGTTCCACTCGCCGGCGCTGGAGGACGCCGACTTCGATAACAAGCCCATGATCCTGCTGGTGGGCCAGTACAGCACGGGCAAGACCACCTTCATCAGGTAACCGCCCGGCCCCTGCGCACCCCGCCTGGCCCCTGCCCCCCCCACCTCGGTCCCAGGTGGAGGCGCTCCTCTCCAAGAGCGCGCCTGTAGTCCCAGGCCCCCCGCCACCCTCGGGCTTCCTGCAGCGCCCACTTCCCTTTTCCCCGAACCCCCTCGCCGCTGCTTTCCCCTCCAGCAGCGAGGTGACCTCGGGTTCCCCGTCAGCGTGTGGTGATCGCAGGCCCACCCCGGGGCGCGGCCGCCGGAATAGGGGCCCGCTCGCCTCACGCGGGCAGAACCCCGAGGGTCCCCGGAACCTCTTCTCCGCGTACTTCGAACCGTCTTCCTTGTTCTTGGAAAGGCACTGCTCTGGCTGGCTTTATCCTGTCGCCCTGGCCTGGGGGCCCGGGAGAGAGGCTGTAACGAGCATCTTCCGGATGCGCGAAGGCGGCCTGGGGCTGGAAATGGGGACCGTGCTGGGGGTATCAGAATGGGCTGCCGAGTCCTAGCCGGAGAGTTAAGTTCCTAGCACAGTGCCGGGGGCATCACTGTACCCAGTGAGTGAGTGAGTGAGTGAATGAATGGATGGCAGTAGTAGAGGGTGTTGCCCATGCACCCTTCCCCTGAGGTCGCATGCCGCTCCCCACCACGGTGTGCGGGTAGGGGAAGAGGCACATTCATTCAACTTTTGCACGGCTTGCCTTTCCCCTGCCATAGGAAGTAAGCGGCGTGTAGCAAACCACACCCAGTGAAACTAAGGAGGGGTGTCATCTTACTAGTTAGTTTCCATTTCTTAGGTGGGTCATTCCCTCCAGGGTCACCCTTGGCAACTAAAAATATTTGTCATGCCCTCTGTGTCTCCAAAAGCAAATAATTACTGTGTATGCCCCTAAGGTTCAAATAATATTGTTTCCTCGGTAGTGACTTTCGACAGATTTTTTAAATCCTCAATACTTTTCCATTTATCTTCAGATAGAGTGGGAGGGAGGGAGAGAAACAGGGATATGAGACATATCTACTGGTTGCCTTCCCCATGACCCTGACCAGGGCCGGACAGAGCTGGAAGCTGAGGTACTTGCCCTTGACCAGAATTGAACCCGCAACTCTTTGGTTCGCTGGCCCACCCTGCCAACCACTGAGTGAAAGCCACCAGGGCTGAAGCACATTTTTGAAGAGGCTATTTTACTTCTAAAGCAGCTGGCATATTAAGCCTTTCCATTCTTTGGTTAAGAAACTTGTTTTCCTGGATTAAACCTTGTGTCAGTTGAAACAAAGTGCCTGATCATTTAAGGTTTTGGTCCAGGGTTTTGGAAATTATAACAATCTCTCTCTCTCTCTCTTTTGTTTTTAAACTTTTCTTTATTATTGAATGTATTACAAATGCCCTCCCTTCCCCCCATTGACCCTCCCCTCCCCAATCCTGCCCACCTCCAGCCTTCCCCACACTGTTGTTTGTGTCTATTGGTTATGCATATATGCATAGAAGTTATTTTGTTTATCTCTTCCCGCCCTCGCTCCCCCCTTCCCTTTGAGGTTCATCAGTCTAACAACCAGTTTGTACTTCTTAATTCCTTCATCCTTTTCACCCATTCCCCCCAACCCCCTCCCATCTGGCAAGCAACAAAAAGTTCTCTGTATCTATGGATCTGTTTCTGTTCTGCTTGCTCATTTTGTTTGTAGATTCAATTGTTGATAGATATATATTTATTGCCATTTTATTGTTCATATTTTTGTTCTTCTCCTTCAAGAAGACCCTTCAACATTTCATATAATACTGGTTTGGTGGTGATGAACTCCGTTAGTTTTTTCTTGTCTGGGAAACTATATGTCCATCGATTCTAAAGGATAGCTTTGCAGGATAGAGTAATTTTGGTTGTTGGTCATTGCTTTTCATCACTTTGAATATTTCTTGCCACTCCTTTCTGGCCTGCAAAGTTTCTTTTGAGAAAGCAGCTGACAATCTTATGGGAGCTCCTTTGTAGGTAACTAGCTGCCTTTCTCTTGCTACTTTTAAGATTCTCTCTTTGTCCTTAACCTTTTGCATTTTGATGATGATGATGTGTCTTGGTGTGGACCTCTTGGGGTTCATCTTGTTTGGGACTCTTGTGCTTCCTGGACTTGTATGTCTGTTTCCTTCACCAAGTTAGGAAAGTTTCTGTCATTATTTTTTCAAATAGGTTTTCAATATCTTGCTCTCTTCTTCTGGCACCCCCATGATACAAGTGTTGGCATGCTTGAAGTTGTTCCAGAGGTTCCTTACACTATCCTCATTTGGGGGGAGTCTTTTTTTCTTTTTGCTGTTCTGATTGAGTGTATTTTGCTTTCCTATATTCTAAATAACTGACTTTTCCCTTAGATTGTCAAATAAAAAAGTGACAACAGCTGACACATCAATAACCATCTGGTGTGAATGAATCAAAATTATACCTATTTTTCTTTTTTGTTAGATCAGTAAAAAATATATTTTTTTGGTATGCCACAGAATTTTAGTAATTATTTTATGTGCCATGAGATGGAAAATGGTTGAAAATTGCTGCTCTAGACAGTAACTTGAATATGAAGGAAGACCAAAAAAAAAAATTTTTAAATTGCTTTTTTGGTGCTTATTGATATGTTGAAAATAATATTAAGAATGTCACCCCAGACACTTCAAAATGAACCATAGAAATACTACAGTAACTGGTACCTTGAAAGATGACCGACAGTACATTTAAGGTCTTAGTAATGCTAATAAGTTTTTAAGTATATGGGATAATGAAGTATTATGATCAAGTGGTATGAGAGTGGGAGGTAGACCTTTTGAAATATACAGATAAAGGGTGAGGAGGTAGCATTGTTGTAATTATAATAATCTCAGACATTAGTGGTGGCATGTTCACAGCACCCTGGGCATTTCCCCCTGTCTGTCTTTGCCCTGTGTGATTAGTAAACCCTTGTTGGTGCTGTACCAACCTGGTTGTCATGTGACTCACTCTGTGCTCCCATAGACAAGCCTGAGGCAGGAGAACACAGGTCACAGGACCATGAATTGATCTTTTTTTTTCTTCTTCAGTTTACTTTTCATTATAGTATTTCTCACTCTTCTCTCTGCTTCATCATTTGCCAGGAGGTTTGTGGTATAACTAAGCATAGTTTCAAGAAGAATTTTGAGATCTGATTCCTGGAGATTCCATTTAAGTAGACCACTTCTCAGTAGGCACTGAGCCATGAGCAACCCCAGGGTGAGAGTGGAGTTACCGTATCAGAAAGTCACTTGCTCTTGAGACCTCTCCTGGCCTAAGTGACTTTGACATTGGGTAGCAGGCACAAAGTGGACCTGTGAAGTTAGAAGCAAATCTGGTGGACAGGGAGCTTGCTGAGGCACCAGAAACTTGAGTTTGGTTTCAAAGTAGAGCTAGGAGGAAGAGATTTAGCTCCTGGGGGGAAAACCCTACACAAAAGGGCAGCTATGCTCCAGAGACCTGCACTGGAACTGGGAGGGGTTGGCCTAGGGTGCTGACCATCCTGGATCCTGCCTCATCCCTGGCTATCTTTTCTCTGAGGCTGGTCAGTGCCCGTGTTGTTTGCTTCTAGCCATTGAGCACTAGAAGCTCATACTTGGCTGTAGGGTGCACCTATCTACATAGTTATAGATTCTATCCACCCGGCTTTCTGCGCATCCAAGAGGTCACTGGTAACACAGAGCCTGAAGTGATGTGGAGAGATACTTACCTCACTGTAAGGCCACTCAGCAAGGCCTTTGATGTGTATTCCACACCTTTTTAATAGAACCTTACTCTTCCCTCCTTTTCCCCCATAACTGGAAAGAACTAGGAGCCCCACTAAAATATGGTGAGTCAGGACCTTCATCAGGGGTGAGGAGATTAAATGTGTGGCTTGTTATAATGGAAGGTCTCCTGGATAAAGAGCCTGAGTGTCAGGAAAATACACTCACTTCGCATGGGAGGTCACCATGAGGGGCCCAAGTGCGAGGAAGAGGACGAATAGGAGAAGCTTGGCGGACTCTTCTCACATGGATCACAAAACTGGCCCTGAAGGAGACTTTAGGTATAATGAAGATACTTGTCAAAGTCTCTTTGTGGTAGAAGCAGAACAGCCGATAAACCTGTTGTCTCACTGACTGTTTTATTTCCATAAGACAGAGGATGCAGTCAGAGGAACTGTTGGTGCTCTATCTCTGACCAGCAGAAAAGAATTGGCCAGAGAAGAAAAAGAGATGGGTACAGGGAAGATGGCCACATCATCTTAGACTCTGTAACAGCCAAGGAAGGGTGGATGTTGGACTTGTCTAGGCTTGTGTGAAAAACCTGAGGAAAACAGATTTCAGAGAATCCCTCCCCCCAGAAAACCCCCCGGGCTCGGGTGCTGAGAAGGAAGACATTTCCCCTGAGAGGAACGAGGCTCACTGAAAAGCAATTCAAATCACACAGCTGCAACTTCTGATATTTAAAAGCCCAGCTTTCTCTCTTCCTCCTACACTCTGTCCCCTTCTCCCAGAAAAAATTTTCTAATGAGGAAAAAAGAGGGAAGTCACTCAAGAAACTGTACAGGCTTTAAAAGATCAGAGACCAAGGCAATTAGGGGGGAAAAAAAGAAAAGAAATAGAAGGTAAGTAGACAATTTTACAAAATTATCTCTATTCACAGAAGACATGATCTTAGAACGTCCTGAAGATTTTGGAAAATCATGAAAAAGTCTCTTAAAACTCATAAACAAATTCAGCAAAATGTCAGGACACAAGATCAATATACAAAACTAGCAACGAACAATCTGAAAATGAAATTAAGGGAAAATGCCACTTATAATAGCATCTAAAAGAATAAAATACTTAGGAATAACTTTAACAAAAGTAGTGTAAAACTTACACATTTAAAATTACACAACTTTGTTGAAAGGAATTAAAGAAAACCTAGCCCTGGCCAGTTTGGCTCAGCGGTTAGAGCGTCGGCCTGCGGTCTGGAGAGACCCGGGTTCGGTTCCCGCTAAGGGCACGTACTTCGGTTGCAGTTTGTCCCCGG